AGACACTGGCACTTTGAGGCTGCTGTGTGTGTCCTGTCTTCTCTCGCTGCTCCCTTCTGGTCAGGTGGCCCTCCAGCGCCACTGCCACACTTGTCCTGGTTTCCACGTTGCCTGTGCCCACGTGGTTCTTGCTCCTTTTTCAGATCGCTGGTGTTTCCATGTGCGCTGATTTTCTTTGAGCTGTTAGTATGCAGTTGGTTTTCTGCCCCTCAGGAGGGCCTGGGAGCTCCCCCGGGTGAAAGGCCAAAGCCACACCACCCCTCCCAGGGCCTGACTTAGGGAGAGGGAGGTCACGGGCAACAGCGCAGCCCGCCCTTTCCTCCCCCACCACGGCTGCTGGTCCCGCTGCCACCAGGGACATGACTGATCTTCCCACTGACGCCCCAGCTCCCTTTCCAGTTTACCCCAACCTGCACCTCCTCAGGCCTTCTTCCGAGACCTGAGGGGCTTTAAGTGGTTTGATTTTTGGCAGTGGTGCCTCCGATGTCTGCTTCCAGGGGAAGGGAGCCGATAGCTACTTCGTTGTCTTCCTAGGAACCAGAGCCCCAGCAGAGTTCCCGTTGTCCGTGTGTTTTCCATCTCTCTCTGACCTACAAGAAGTGTGACAGTTGCATCTAGTTACTTAGCTTATGCTGGGTGGTATTCGTTGTAACATGTCTACCAAGTGGTCAGATATTGGTATTCTGTTTTTTATTTTAAGATGTATGTACTTGAAAGGTAGAGTTACAGAGGGGGACAGGAGAGACAGATCTTCCATCTGCTGGTTCCCTCCCCAAATGACCACAATGGCCAGACCGAAGCCAGGAGCTTCATCTGGGTCTCCCATGTGGGTGCAGGGACCCAAGCATTTGGGCCATCTTCTGCTGCTTTCCCAGGTGCCTTAGACAGCAGCTGGATCAGAAGTGGATCAGCTGGGACTCAAACCAGCAGCCATGTGGGATGCCAGTGTCTCAGAGACTTAGCCCATGACACCACAGTGCCGGCCCCCAGTAGTCAGATTTGGAATGCTGATGTTTTCACCTCCATTCCTGCTTTTTCATTGGCTGGTTAAAAATAACTTCTCTCCCAGTATGCTTTAGATGTTACATATTCAAGTTGTGAATCTTTATAGAGACTGTCTCGATACATGAATGCCTGGCTTAAACTTAACAGGGACCTTGGATGACCTCAGTCACCACCCCACCCCATCGAGTAAGTCATGGTGCAGCATTTTAATTGCTTCTCATTGTTCTGTACCCAAGTAGTAGCCCCCGGGAGCCTGCCTGGTCAGGTCCGACGGGTGCCCGCCCGCAGCAGCCAGCAGTGACTGAGTCTGCCCTTGTCTTGCCCGGGTCCCCCCCCCCCCCCCGCCAACGACTGCTGATGTCCCCCCCCCCCCCCCCCCCGTGACTCTGCTGATGTCACCGCGCACCGTGAAGTGCATGCAGACTGTGACAGGGACCAGGGCTGTGACCATGAGCTCGCTCGCTCGCATGCCTGTGTGTTTCAGATGCTGAAGTTTATGTTGCTTTTTGGAGTAAGAAAGTGGCATTTAATATGGCCAAAGAGGACTCCGTTGCAAAGCGCGTCATGGTTTTGAGAGCGGGCTTGCAGGGGCAGTGTGGAGACCGCGGGGGTTACGGTCTGGGTTCTCCACTGCTGTCTGCTAACCACTGAGGGGCGCTTGTAGGGCAGGAGCCCTGCTCCGGGGCTGTGTGTGTTCCGGAGTGGCAGGTTCCCCGGGTGTCGGGCCGAGTGGCACCTGCGATGTGTTACCGTGTGGATTCTCTTAGAGCTGCTACAAAACCCCAGGAGAGGCTGCAGCCTCGTGAACTTGCAGGTGAGCGCGAGACCAAACGCCGAGTGCGGGAAGCAGGTGAAGGCACAGGAGCCCCTGTCGCCCCGGAGTCGAGCCCCTGGACGCACCCCAAGACCAGAGGGCGTTCCCTGGGAAAGACTCAACACTGCTCAGCCGCATGGGATCTGATCTGTTTCAGTGCCTTGATTTCTTCAGACAGCTAACGCGTGCCAAGAGCATCACGTGCCCGCAGCTGACTTGGCTGCTCCGGCGGGAGCCCAGGTGTGACTCCAGGTGTGGGCGGCCGCGTGCACACGGAGCTCTCAGCTCTCCTCCACCTAGCCGGCTTCCCGGGTGACGGAACACTGCGTGGATCTGTCCCGGCTCTGGCTTTACGCAAGATCATGGACCGAGGCATTCACAGCGTGCAGTCGGCTGTGCTACAAGCCGGGTTTGTGCCACTTCCTGTCAGCAGACAGGGCGCAGACCTGGGGGAGGAAGTCTCTTCTCTCTCCCTGCCTGCTGCACGTGAGCTCAGCCCTGCCGAGACCCGAGCGTGCTGCCCTTGTCCTAGGGAGGGGCGGGGCCGTTAGTGCTTGCTGCTCAGAGAAAGACCAGAAGCACGAGACTCCGGACTTGGACTGACCGCCGGCCGCGTGCTGTTGTGGAGCCCCGGGCTGAGCTGCCCCCACCTCCCTGCTAACTGCCTGCCGCCGCCACCCAACGTCAGGTTTATTTCTCTGGGGACAGCCCAGCGGCCATCCCGGTGGTCCCGGAGCAGGCTTCCTTCATCTTGGCGCCTCCGTGGTCCCAGGATCCCCAGGCTAGCGTCTGAGAACGGAAGCCACCTCTCGTCTGTGTGAGAAGGCTGCGAGCGTGGACTGCGTGTCCCGGACACGGAACCCGCTTTGCCAGCAGTGACTCTGCCAGAGCTGAGAAGGAGACGGGCCTGGCGCTTTCCCTCCTCGTCCGCCCAAACCCAGCTCCGTCTCGGAGCCGTGCTGCAGAGGGCGTGTGGCCGCACACGCTGCTCGGGCGTCCACGAGCTGTTAAACGGAGCAGCCTCCTTCGGGGGTGAGGTCCCCAGGCTCGCGTGTGACCGCAGAGGAGAGCGCTCTTCCACCCACGGGTTCACTCCCAAGGCTGAACTGGGAGCCACAAGGCATCCTGATGTCCCACAGGGGCGCAGGGGCCCCAGTCTCTGGGCCATCTGCCGCTGCCTTCCCAGGCGCATGAGCAGAAGGCGAGCAGCGGAGACTGGAACTGCCCCTAAGGAGACGCGTGCTCCAAGCGGCGGCTCAGCCTGCTGCGCACACCAGTGCCGCGGGCGGCTGCTGAAGGTCTTGGTGCGCAGCCCAGGAGCAGCAGGGGTGGCCCAAGCACTTGGGTTCCTGTCGCCCACAGGGACACTGGATTGTTTGGACTCCTGACTTGGGCCTGGCCCAGCCCTGGCCATTGGGGCCTTTAGCGGGCTGAACCAACGAATGGAAGTGCTCGCTTTCCAACTGCCTTTCAGATAAAAAAAGCAAAGGAAAACAAAGCCTTAAGGGGAAGATGAGGAGGACCCTGCAGGGGTGCTTTCTGTCTGCACCGGGAGTTGGTGGAGACACTGGTCAGGCCCGACCTTGCCACGAGTGGTCACTTCGGGCTGTTCCTTGTTGGTATCCTCGTGCCATGCAGTACGTGGCGGATTTTCCTGTTCCAGTAGCACCAGCACACTGGGTCTGCCCTGCCCAGGCCTCTGTGGGGAGGCACAGGAGTGGGCAGCCCAGGTCCTGGGAATCTGGCGCATTAGGAAGCTACCGCCCGCACCCCACCCACCACAGACTGGAGGTGAGGGAGGGGGAGTTAGAGCTGCGGCCCTCAAACCGGGCAGGACTCATCGTGCAGGAGCCCAGGGCCCCGCTGTGTGGACTGAGGGCTTCTGGGCACGCACCTGCTGTTTCCAGAGGGCGTGGACCTCGTCAGCACCTTCACTTACCAGATTAGCCAAGGGAAGCTGGGAGCGGGAGCAGCAGTGTTCCGATGGCACCAACAGGAAGACCGAAGCTGCAGCTTCCAGCCCCGTGGTACTGCGTTTCCTGTGAGCTGAGACAGACAAGGATTTCCTCTCCTGGCCTCCTAGGAAATCAGACTTGGCAAGGGAAGAGGAGAGTCTGGCAAGCTAAGGCCCCAGGACTCGGCAGGATCTTGGGAGGGTGGCGTTGGGGATGACAAGGGTTGTCGTGAGCCCTGACAGCCTGGCTCCCCTAAGCAGCTCCCCAGTCAGCCGCCAAGCGCCGAGCCTGGAAAGCAGAACTGGTTCCTACTTGGTGCCATGGAGCAGGGGCAGGCGAAGTAGGGGATGAGAAGTTACTTATTTCACCTTCACACTGAGAGAAACACGTCCCCTTCAGTGGGCTGTGGCTGAGATAAACAAGACACAGAAGTGAGGCCTGGTGGCCACGAGAAGCCTCCTGCGGGCCAGGGACCAGGACCTCGCGGCAGCCCCCAGAGCACCCCAAGGCAGCAGGCGCCCAGGGCCGCCACCGTCGCCGCCTGCTTCAGCTCCGTCCAGGCCAGCTGCCATGTGGCCACTCTGTCCCAGGCGCCCTTCACCGAGCCCAGCCCCGTGGCTGTTTGGGCACGGGTGCACCCCTGGACTGCCACAGTCCTTACCCAGAGGGGACCCCGCGGCACTGCACGTGTGCGTTTTGGCTGCGGGTTCTTGGAGTAGGCTTCCGGATGTTAGGGAGGCAGGCTGCCCGCTCCCACTCGAGACCTGCTGAGTGAGACCCAGCGACCCCGTGCTGGCATGGGAGGGCTGTGCTGCTGCCCGGCCCATCACCCTCTGTGGGCCCACTGTGCCTGACCCCGCCCCTCGTTTCCTCAAGCACCCAAGACCACCCAGCCCTCCTGCTCCTCCGCACACCAGTGCTGTGTGAACAGTCACAGGGAGCGCATCGGGGCACGCGGCCCCCTGAGACTGGCCTGGGAGCCCAGGGAAGAGAGGTGGCCAGAAACCGCACAGGCCACACAGACCCGAGGGCGCTGGCTCCAGCGCTGGGAGAACATGGACTGACTTTACTTTAAAGTGTTCATTAAAGATATGGGAGGGATGGACCAAACTCTCCTCTAAGGAGGTAACAAGGCACAGGGCACAGCAGGGCCCCACCCATCCCCGAGCAACAGGTGGGGGCCAGGGTGGAGCCTAAGGCGTGGTGTCAAGCAGTGTAGGCAGGCACACAATTCAATAGCTGTTTAATCATCTCACGACAACAGTAGTGCAGTAGTAGAAATTGTTTCTCTTTAGAAAGTCACTCCCCCAAGCTCCCAGTGCTCAACACGCAGACACCTCAGTGGAGGAGCCAAGGGGCTCTGATCTGGGGGCTCAGTCTCCAAGTCGAGGTTGCCCAGTGTGCAGCCGAGAGCCCTGCGAGGAGCTGATGCCCACATGCGAAGGCCCGGGGAGCAGATAGCCAGTGGCACAGGGCCACGGCGGGCAGTCACACATATGCCCCCCGTGTCGCCGCCGTGGGTCTCCTGTAGTCTCAGGCCGGGAGCAGGGGTTCAGTCCTGCAGCAGCAAGTGCTGGCCAGAGGAGAGCGGGTGGCCCCCCGCCAGGCCCCGCAGCCAGGATCCCTCTCCCCTGAGCCAGTCTCCCCCACCCCAGCCAGACAGGAGCTGGGTCTGCAGGGCGCCAGCAGCAGTGCTGAGCACAGGGGGTGCACCTGCTCCCCACCAGTGACAGGGCGTGCTCCGTGCCAGGGGGCAGGGCCGGGGCTCTGCTCGGTCCGGTGCCCGGGCGTGTGCGGTGCCCTGGGAGCAGCCCCGGCTGGCAATGTCTGCCTTCGGGCAGGGGCAGTTCTGCCACAAAACGGGAGGCCCTGAGGTGTGGACGTGTTGGGGTGTCGGGGCCTACGGGGCAGGTTTAGAGACAAGCTCTCCTTCACAGCTTCGTTCAGGGTTCCTGGAGAGCGTGTGGGTTCAAGTACCAGCAATTCCGGTGGGGGTTGGGGTGGAGTGGCCAGCAGGCGCTGGGCCCTGGCGCTGCCAATGCCTACCCTGAGGACACAGACCAGGTGGCTACAAGACCTCCTCTCGAGGACTCCTGGTCTTCAGCGGGGTCTGTCCGTTGGGCACAGAGCCATTCTGGCCATGCAGGAGCTTGCCCTTCTCTCGGTCTGGCCACGTGAAGATGGCGTCATCGCTGTCCAGCTCGGACTCGGAGTGCATCAGGCTGCTGCTCAGCACTGGGCCTTTCTGTTTGATGCCTGCAAGGAAGACGAGGAGACCTGGCGTCAGGGGCCAACGCGTCTGCCCTGCACCTTCCAGCAGTCTGGGCAGGCGCCAAGGCACAGGGAAAGTCACAGGCCTTGGGAGCTGGCCTCCCTCCTTTCTTAAAAAGGTGACCAGGCAGGTGGGCACTTGGCACGGTAGTTAGAAGCTGCTCGGGACGCCCACATCCTGTATCGCAGGGCCCGGTTCAAGTCTCGGCTCCTCAGCTTCCGGGTAACTTCCTGCGAATGCACACCCTGGGAGGCAGCAGCTGATGGCGCAAGCGCCCAGGGCCTGCCCCTCACGTGGGAGACCCAGATTGAGTTCCAGGCTCCTGGTTTGGGCCTGGCCCAGCCCTGGCTGTTGCAGGCATTTGGGGAGTCATCTAGTGAAGGGAAGGTCACTGTTCTGATGGCCATCTCTTACGTTTTCACATAAAACAACGCCACAGTGGCCGCGTGAGGCGCATGTGACCCAGGCAACGTGATCTAGCGCGTCACGCAGCCGTGACTCCCCAGGACACTGAAGAGGTCGAAGGGTTCGCGGCCGTTCTCTTCCGCCCGCCTTAAAGGCACAGTTCGCACGTTCGGGGCTCCTCAGGCTGAGGACACCCAGACGCTGACTGCACCTGTCACCCGGAACCACCCCCTCCCGCGGGGTACAGCACAGGCTGGGGCTCCGGCAAGGAGCCTGCACGGCCCCGGCCCTGTCCGTACAGTTCTGGACAGGCCTGTGCAGCCATCTGCCCCGGTCTCAGGATGGCAGAATACCAGGCCACAGAAGAGCAGGGGCAGCCTGGGGCTGTCCGATAGGGTGGGGACAGTGACAAGTGTGCGAACCAGGCCAGGTGCATGGAACCCCACCCAGTTCTCCCAGTGTGCACTAGCAGCCTCTTGGCCAGGGCTGCAAAGGAGGAACCACACAGGAAGAGGAGCTCCTCCTGGCTCCCCAAGGCCCTCCCACCACTCGCTCCTGCTCGCTCGGCCTGTGGCACTGAGCACCCTTCAGCACATCTGACAGAAAATGGAGAGGGGCCGGCGCTGTGGGCTAGTGGATGAAGCCTCCGTCTGTGATATGCAGCATCAGCGTGAGTGCGGCTGCTCCACTTCCAATCCGGGCCCCTGCCAATGGGCCTAGTAAAGCCGCGGAGGATGGCCGAAGGGCTTGGGCCCCTGCACCCCTGTGGGAGACCCACATGGAGTTCTAGGCTCCTGGCTTCGGTCTGGCGCAGTCCCAGCTGGTATGGCCGTCTGGGGAGTGAACCAGCAGACTGAAGTGCACTCTCGCTCTCGCCCTCTCTCATGCTGCCTTCCAAATAAATAAGTTTAAAAAAAGAAAACTGAAAGAACTCAACGCCTGTCACCAGTGTGTGCCACGAATAAACACATCCCCACACACGACTTAGCCATGCGCATGACGGCGCGGACACTGCTTACTCCTCACCAGCCCGGGGCGGTACCTGTGACCGGGGGAGGTGGGAACAGCACTGGAAGCACAAAAGGGGCTCTGGGCGGCGATTCTGCGGGGCTGTTCACTGTGAAAACCCAGCAAGCGACGTTGCTGCTTTTCTGTTCAGATCAGGCTGAACCCCATTAAAAGGGCCATTCTTACAGGGCAAAAGAAAAATCAAGCATCAGTAATTTCATTTGGTTCAACCTGAAATACTTGAACAGAATGTTTTGAATGTCTTGAAAATATCGATAGAAAAGAAAAACCAAACCAACCCAAAACAAGGCCGCTGAGTGTCAGCAACACGCCCCCTGCCGGCTGCTCCGCACTGCACGCCTTCACTTCCCACGACAGGGGACAGGGTCCCTAGTCCTGAGCTCGTCCTGTTAGTGACCGGGCCGTATCCACAGAGCCCAGAGAGCGGGCTGCCCAGCGCTCCCCGCCTCCCTGCTGGGCTGCGCCCCTCGGAACAGCCCTCTCCCACAGCGCCTGCTCACTGCCTGCCCACAGGACCTGGCCAGGACCCCCCACCCAGGACACCTCTGCCCTTGTCCTGCTTCTCCATTTTCACTGCTCAGCTTTAGCAAGGGCTCCGAAACATCCTGAGCCTCTACCTGCCCCCCGCCCTCACTCACCGTCCACTCTGGCCCTGGTGACCGGAGTGACCCTGTGGCAGCAGCATGGCTGATGGGTCTCCCGAGTTCCTCACCCTGCTACAGGGACATGACCCACTTCAGGGGAGTGACCCTCACCAGCGGGAAGGAGATTCCCCCGTCTACACTTGCAGTCCGGACTGTTCTGCTGAGTTCAGTTTAACTCATCTACTCTAACCCAAACACCGCCCCCAGGTCCTGATGCTGTCAGTGGTGCCGTCATCCTCTCTCCCGGCGGAAGTCAGCCTTCACTCTCCTGCCCCTCCGCCTCACTGACACCACACTACTTCCACCATCACTACCTCCTCCTCCAGCCACTGCAAAAATCCCCTTGCTGGCCTCCCTGCCTAAGAAGGCTTTGTGGTTTCCCAAGCCAGCACCTTCAAGATGTCACATCTCATCAGCATCAGGACAAAGGACTGCCTGCTCAGCCGATTCTCCGAATTTTCCACAATCGGCCCCATCAACCCTCCAGCCTCATGTCCTCAACTCCCTCTGTAACTCCTAAACCACACACTGGCCTTCTGCACCTCCTCTCCAGCCGTTCCAGCCCAAGCAGAAGCTTGGGAGCCGCCCCTCACGTCTCCTTTCCTCTCTCCCCACTTGGCCAACACATCACAGCCTCATCAAGTCTTCCTCCAGCATGTCTGGACTGCCCCTCGTCTGCCTATCTCCCCACCCTCTCCCACAGGCACATCTTGTCCCGTCTCCTTCTCCCACAGGCACATCTTGTCCCGTCTCCCTCTCCCACAGGCACATCTTGTCCCGTCTCCTTCTCCCACAGGCACATCTTGTCCCGTCTCCCTCTCCCACAGGCACATCTTGTCCCGTCTCCTTCTCCCACAGGCACATCTTGTCCCGTCTCCCTCTCCCACAGGCACATCTTGTCCTGTCTCCTTTTGCTCCTCCTGCCGTCTGCAGTCCTTCACACATCAGCCACAGGTCTCTTTTTAAAAACACAAATTCAATCCAGGCTGGCGCTGTGGCGTGCTAGGCTCAGCCTCCTCCTGTGACGCCGGCATCCCCTATGAGTGGGATCCAGTTCAGTCTCAGCTGCTCAACTTCTGATCCAGCTCCCAGCTATATGGCCTGGGAAGGCAGTGGACGATGGCCCAAGTCCTTGGGCCCTGCACCTGCATGGGAGATTGGGGAGAAGCTCCTGGCTCCTGGTTCAGATTAGCCCAGCTCCAGCCATCATGGCCATTTGGGGAGTGAACCAGCAGATGGAAGACCTCTTTTTCTTTCTCTCTCTCCAACTGTAACTCTGCCTCTCAAGTAAATATTTAAAATATATATATAAAATATGTATATATAAATGTAAATCAAGTCACACCATCCACCCCTGAACAAACGGCCGCTGGCTCCCACTGCTCTCAGAGGAACTGCGGGCGAGGTGCCCGCTCACCCTTGCGGCCTCAGGCCACTCTGCCCCGGCTCACAGACGTGCTCCGCTCCTTCCAGCAGCTGGGCCTCCACTGACTTTGCTACTCTGCCCACAGTGCAATTTCCTGGAGTCTCTGCCTGCCTCACTCCTTAAGCATAATTCATAAAGCCCTTCCGCTGTCATGTTTCATGTATGTGTGAGTGTATTTAATGTCGCTGACACACGCTACACAAGAGCAGAGTCTGTCGTTCTCAAGGAGGGAGCAGAGTGGGGCCAGGGCCTGCACGCACTGGTCTCGCACTGCATTCACAGATGAATGAGGGGCAGTCCTGTCCTCGAGGCTTCACTGACTTCACTGGTAAGACGTCAGACAGACACCTAACGCATCACTACAGCGTGAGACCAAGGCCGAGCCCGAGGCGGGTAAAGAGCGAGTGCGGAACTCCCGGAGGGTAGGGGCGCGGGTCCGAAGGAGCTTCCTGTGCAGAGACCGAGTTCTCGGGAGAGGGAAATCAGCAGAAACAAACATCCCAGAAAAGCCCAAGGCCGCATGGGAGACCCAGAAGAAGGTCCTGGCTCCTGGCTTTGGATCGGCACAGCTCCAGCCACGGCGGCCATCTGGGGAGTGAACCAGTGGATGGAAGACTCTCTCTCTCTTTCTCTCTCTCTCTCTCTCTCTCTCTGCCTCTCTGTAATTCTCCCTTTCAAAATAAAATAAAATAAATATTTTAAAAAAAGGGGAGGGGATTCCAAGGTGGTGGAGTAGGGAGGGAGCTTAATGCTCTAGTCCGAGAGAAGATAGTTTAAAAAACCTGGGGAGAAGGCAGTCTCAGGAAGAGTTACAGAGAAAATGGCAGAGGAAACTCTACCTAAATTAAAGGGACACAGTAGACCTACATGGAAAAATCTTCCATGTTCATGGATTGGAAGAATCAATATCATCAAAATGTCCATTCTTCTGAAAGCAATTTACAGATTCAATGTGATACCAATCAAAATACCAAAGACATTCTTCTCAGATCTAGAAAAAAATGATGCTGAAATTCATATGGAGGCACAGGAGACCTCGAATAGCTAAAGCAATCTTACAGAACAAAACCAAAGCTAGAGGCTTCACAGTACTAGATTTCAAGACATACTACAAGGCAGTTATAATCAAAACAGCCTGGTACTGGTACAAAAACAGACCAATGGAACAGAACAGAAACACCAGAAATCAATCCAAACATCTACAACCGACTTATATTTGACCAAGGAGCTAACACCAATCCCTGGAGCAAGGACAGTCTCTTCCACAAAGGGTGTTGGGAAAACTGGATTTCCACAGGCAGGGTGTGAAGCAGGACCCCTCCCTGTGCCTTACAAAAAAATCCATTCAACATGGATTAAAGGTCTAAATGATGATTTGAGCTGCCCTTGTTTTGATTGTCGAGAACAGTTTCATTTTCTTTGTTTTTTTCATCTTTTTTTCTTCATTCTATTTGTTGAACACTTAACATAGAATTAATCATACGTGTATAAAGTCAATTGAAAATAGATCTTAGGGCCGGCGCCGCGGCTCAATAGGCTAATCCTCTGCCTGCGGCGCCAGCACATCGGGTTCTAGTCCTGGTCGGGGCAACGGATTCTGTCCCGGTTGCTCCTCTTCCAGGCCAGCTCTCTGCTGTGGCCCGGGAGTGCAGTGGAGGATGGCCCAAGTATGTGGGCCCTGAACCCCATGGGAGACCAGGAGAAGCACCTGGCTCCTGCCTTCGGATCAGTGCAGTGCGCTGGCCACAGCACACTGGCCGCGGCAGCCATTGAGGGTGAACCAATGGCAAAAGGAAGACCTTCCTCTCTGTCTCTCTCTATCTACTCTGCCTGCCAAAAAGGAAAAAAAAGAAAATAGATCTTAGTACAAAGTAAGAGTGGGAATAAGGGAGAAGGAAGTTTGTAACTGTAAAGCTGTATATTACAACATCTACATACATTCCTACGGACTTACTTCTAAGGGTACAGATTGAAAACTTGTCATGGGACTCAACTCCCATTAAGCTTGGTGGTGCCCAAATACTGATAGAGTTTGTGGACTCAAAAGGCTTCCACAGCCTAGACAGCTCATGTCAAGAGCTGACGTCACTGACGTCATACACAAGTGTTAACTGTTAAATTAACAACAGGAGTCACTGTGCACTAACTCCCCATGCAGGACCTCTGTCCTCAATGAGTTGTGTTGAGAGTTAACTGGAAAACCAGTTCTCAGTTTGTGTGTCTGTGTGCAAATTGTTGAAACCTTTACTTTGAGTTGGTCTTCTGTGTACAAGGTTAACTGAAAATGAATCTTAATGAAGAATGGGACTGGCAAGGAGAGAGGGGGGAGGAGGAGGAGGGGTGGGAGTGTGGGTGGGAGGGCTGATATGGTGGGAAGAATAACTATATTCCTAAAGTTGTACTTAGGAAATTTGTATTCCTTAAAAAATAAATTTAAAAAATAAATAAAAATAATTAAGAATGAATGAATGAATGAATTTGAAAAAGAGGCCAGAAAGGCTCACAAAGGCCAGCTCAGCCAGACAGAAAGTTCTCGATTTGGGCTGGAAAGTTCAAGTCAAAGATATCTTCAGAGAAGCATAAAGATGACCCTTGCGGCCGGAGCCGCAGCTCACCTGGCTAATCCTCCGCCTGCGGCGCCAGCACCTCGGGTTCTAGTCCCAGTCGGGACGCCGGATTCTGTCCCGGTTGCCCCTCTTCCAGGCCAGCTCTCTGCTGTGGCCCGGGAGTGCAGTGAAGGATGGCCCAAGTGCTTGGCCCCTGCACCCCCATGGAAAACCAGGGGAAAGCCCCTGCCTCCTGGCTTTGAATCAGAACAGCGTGCCACCCACAGTGGCCATTTTGGGGGGTAAACCAACGGAAGGAAGACCTTTCGGAGTACGTCCATACGTCTCTCTCTCTCTATGACGGCATCTGTCTCTTTCTCGCACTGACCTAACTCACCCTGTCGGAAAGTTACTTTCTGTTTAAACTAAAAAAATAGCATCCATCCTGACACTGTGTGGGCACAGCCTGCACACACCTGCGCCTCTGGGCCTTCATCTTCAGGATGTCTGTGCTGAGTGCTCTGCTTTTCTGGGACTCCCTGAAGCCCCCGGCCACAGGGACACTACCTGAGCTGCAGGGAAGTGCAGGGGCAGAGCCTCTGCAGAGGCGCCTTTGCTTCCTTTCTAGGTTCCGCTTCTGTGAGGGCAGGGCCTGGGCTGAGGACACTGTGTCCACAGCCTCTCCCCAAAACAAAGTTTTCAGGACCGGAGAGATTTTCCCAACTACTTGCTCCCATAAGCAGACTGATGGCTGTCCTGTGGCATCCTTGATGGTGGGAACCCCACCACGTGTCTGAGCCCAGCAAGGGAGAGAGGCCACTGCCTGTCCCATTTCCCCCAGCCCCGCCGCCCCAAGTCATCTCAGTGCTTGTGCAGCAGGAAATCCCTGCAGTGGGAGGCAGGCTTCAGTTGAGCCCAATGCACCTGCTCACCTGACGGAGGCTGGGGACACACTGGCGCGAGGAAGACAGGAGGGGAAGGCTGGCAGAAGAGGAAGTGAGCCGGCAGTTGCTGCCTGTGCCCCTGTCACTGTCATCAGGCATGAGAGACCAGGGCCCCAGAACCCGGGTGAGAAACCAAGAAGGAGCAAGCAAAGGAAAGCAGGAGGCCTGGCCCCCTGCAAACTGACGGGGCACTGAACAGGGACCCCTGGAGCCAGCCTGTTCTGTGCCTGAGTCCTGCCAGCCAGGGTGAATGCAGCCCTGCCCCCCAAGCAAGGGAACAACACGTTTTCCCAGCACAGATGGAGGCAACCCCACGAGGAGGACCGCAGGCAGAGCGCCCAGTGTCCAGGGCCCTACCTGCTCGGGAGGTCGGCTTCAGCTCCAGGCTCTCCTGATCAGTGGCATCCAGGATCTTGTACCTGCTTTTCCTCTTGGGTTTTCCTTTTTGCCTAAAAAACACAATTCCCACCCTGCTTGAGAAAGTGGTTCCATGTGAGACTCAGGATGAGGGCCAGATGCACAAGCAGCTGTCTCAGGCTGCCCAGTGGGAGGAGGGGTCTCTGCACTTCTCCGTCAGGGAAGGCAGCACCTGGGATTTGCCCTTCAATCCTGGGGAAAGGCAAGGGAACTATGACCATCTCAGTACAAACTGGCCGCTCCACCGCGGCACAGGCGGTCAGAGCCATCAGAATGTAAAGTGGGGCAGGTATTTGGCCTAGTGGTTAAGACGCCACTTAGGCCACCCACGCCCCGGGAGAGCGCTGGGGTTCAGCCTCCGGCTCCTGCTCCTCAGTGACATTCTACTGATGCAGAGCCCAGGAGGCGACAGTGATGTCTCAAGTGACTGGGTTCCTGCCACCCACATGATAGGCGTGGGTTGAGTTTTTGGCTCTTGGCTTTGTCCCCGGTCCAGTCCCAGTCATTGTGGGCATTTCAGGAGTGAACCAGCAGATGTGAGTGCTCCCTCTAGAGCTATGTCTCTCTCTGCCTTTTTTATTTTATTTTATTTATTTATTTTTTTTTGGACAGGCAGAGTGGACAGTGAGAGAGAGAAAGGTCTTCCTTCCGTTGGTTCACCCCCCAAATGGCTGCCACGGCCGGCGTGCTGCGCAGATCTGAAGCAGGAGCCAGGTGCTTCTCCTGGTCTCCCATGGGGTGCAGGGCCCAAGCACTTGGGCCATCCTCCACTGCACTCCCTGGCCACAGCAGAGAGCTGGCCTGGAAGAGGGGCAACCAGGACAGAATCCGGCACCCCACCCAGGACTAGAACCCGAGGTGCTGGCGCCACAGGAGGAGGATTAGCCTAGTGAGCCATGGCGCCGGCCTCTCTGCCTTTCAAATAAGTAAATTAGAGAGAGAGAGAGAGAGTAAAGAAAACAAAACCTTCTGCTTGAGGGGGTGCGAGAAGGTACCCATTAGCCCAACCAAATCCTAAGTGGTGATTGTCTTCAGCTGGTGGACATCTGCCTTCATTCTTTTAATTTTCTAAGCTGTCTGGGAGATTATACTGCAGGGCGAATCCTGGCCCTGTCACTTACCAACTTTGTCCTTGGACAGGTGATACAATTTTGCTAAGCCGAAGCTCTCTCATCTATAAAACGGGAAAAGGTGCTGTGCACTAATAAACAAGGCGCTGGGGCCAGTGCTGTGGCATAGCGGGTAAAGCCGCAGCCTGCAGTGCTGGCATCCCATACAGGGCCCAGCTCGAGACCCAGCTGCTAACTTCTGATCCAGCTCTCTGCTATGGCCTAGGAAAGCAGTGGAAAATGTCTTAAGTTCTTGTGCTCCTGCACCCATGTGGGAGACCCAAAAGAAGCTCCTGGCTCCTGGCTTCAGATCAGCACAGCTCTGGCCATTGCAGCCATCTTGGGAGTGAATCAGCAGATGGAAGACCTCTCTGTCTGTCTGTCTCTCTCTCTCTGCCTCTCTGTAACTCTGCCTTTCAAATAAATCTTAAAAAAAAAAAAAAAAAAAAAAAAAGTGTTACTGTGGCACACAGCAGACACAGAAACCACACTATCATCAATGATGAAAAAGACAGGGCCAGGTAAAGCCACCGCCTGCAGTGCTGGCATCCCATACAGGCACCGGTTCAAGTCCTGGCTGCTCTACTGCCGATCCAACTCCTTGCTGATAACCTGGGAAAGCAGTACAAGATGGCCCAAGTCCTTGGGCCCCTGCACCCTACACGGGAGGCTCAGAAGAAGCTCCTGGCTTCAGATTGGCCCACTCCCAGCCATTGTGGCCATTTGGGGAGTAAACCAGAAGGGTGGAAGACCTCTCTCTCTCTCTGCCTCTCTATAACTCTGCATTTCAAATAAATAAATATATTTTAAAAACATTATACAGATTAGCTTGTCCTATGAATTTCACATTAAACAAAAAAAGGAAGAAGATGTTGTAGCTGTTAACTGAACTACTGTCCAAGTAGATAGGAAGGCTCAAATGAGACACTAGGACAGCTCATCCTCAGGAACCCAGGCCCTCGCTCGCCAGTGTGAGAAGCGTGAGCCCGCGCTCCTGCAGAGCGGAAGGCAGACACAGAACGCCTGTGGCTGTGCTGAGTGTGCAGCGTGCAAGGACACACACCTTAGAGAGCTGACCCAGGCCCTGCTGCTCACTGTGGCCCCAGACATGGTTTCCAGGTGGCCACAAACCACAGTGGAGACAGCCACGGGACTGCAGGATGTGCTTCTGGCCTTGGCAGTGTTGAAGTGGAAAAATTTGCCAGTCCATGTCTTGGGTACAGGATGGGGGTAGTGTCCAAACCAACCCTAACTTTGACTGGGGACCAGCACAGTCAGTCCATGTGGACGGGGCTAACGACCTCATAGATGGATTCCACAGGAGAGCCATCTTACCTCTTGCAGCAGCAGATCATGGTCCAAGACAGGATTCCCAAGGCAACGATGATGACAAAGGTGGCGATGATAACATACAGCACGCTCCACTCTGCCAGGAAAACCATCGAGGGCCGGGCAAGAGGTCGGAAGGGAGGTGTGGGCCGCCCCACTTTGGGCAGGGTGTGGCTTTACCCCGCAGACAAGAACGTTCCCAGGCTCCCCAGGATAGGTGAGCCACTGGCATTCAGGACAGCTAAGGGCTTAACCCTTCTGAGATGGCCCCGCTTTGGGTGAGCTCTGAGACTCCCAGCAGGGATAGAGCCTGCGAGGAGCTGAGGAGAGGGGAAGGAGGCCTCCCTCAGGCCGCAATGTGCAGGCCTCCCAGAGACAGGCGCCCTCGCAGTTGGTCCTGCCTCAGGGCTCTCCTCTAACCTTGAGCAGGTGCAGAGGAGGGAAATAAAAGTCCTCTGCAAACAAAAAGCACACGAAGTTCCTCTCCTTGCTGACTCCTGAGCCTCAGAAGCGCCACACCCACCCACTGGGTGCAGAACCACCCTCCCTGCCAAACCAGTGGGCCCAGCGCCGCCCAGCAGCTCACCACAGTTGCTGTCTCCATCTCTCAGCTGCACCTTGATGAAATTCTCCATCCAAAACGGGTCACAGATACAGCGCTTGGTGAACGAGTCGCAGTGGCCATGGTCTGAACAGTTGAGCTGACACGCTGATGGTGGCAGGGGAGGGAAAAGGCCAACAAGGGTCACAGGCAGGGGGTCGCCAGCATGCAGGGCCTAATGTTCCTCGGGGAAGCTGCCTGGACATCTGACCCAGGCGCCCCTCAGCATGGCCCCAGAGATGTACAACGCGAACAGTCAGAGGCCGCTGGCCAGGCACTCCCCATCCCCCAACTGCCACCCCTTCAGAGAAGAATACAATTACAAAAATAAAACACGTATCATATTACAAAGGAAAGAAAGTATATGGAACATGGTTTTGAGATACTTAAGAACACAAATATTTGAAATCATATGTGTGTGTCCAATAAAACATTAAGTAACAAGATCTAGGAGTGAATGAGTAAAGATGACACTGTCACATGATGTGACATGCAGCTATCTGTGGTCTGTTGTCTCAAAGCCACGTCTTCTGTGCCTGATGCCTACCTTCGTGATGGAGGGAGTGTGAAGTGAGTGAGAGTACAGAGGGACCCCCTCCCCCAGGGAGCCCCCGCTGGAGCCCCTTTGAGCTTTCCCAAGCGGCCCACAGCCCTGGGCTCAGGCACCCGCAGCAAACCAGGACTCTCAGGACAATGGCAGTGGAGGAAAATGACTGAGTCCGTGTTCCCGGGGAAAGGGGAGAAGGCGGGGCGGGGCACTCACTGACGGTGCTGATCTCCAGGGCTCCGAATATCAGGAAGTCGGCCTTCTGCTTCCGCAGCTCGCTCTTGAGCATCGCTGCCACCTGATGGCCTTTGAAGATCTGGTGGGCAGGCTCGTTCTGAACAAAAAACACCATCTTGGTGCTGTGGAGACACCAACAGCGTGAATGAGCTGAGGCTGTCCAGGACCACAGCAGCAGCAGCCACCATTCGCCCAGCACCCTCTGTTTGTGCCGGACGCTGTGCTAAGTACATGCACACCCCGCCGCGGCAAGCCCACGAGGAACGCGTTAGCAGCGTCGTCTCCGTTACAGAGACAACACTAGAACTCAGAGGGGTTAGGTAACTTGCCCAAGGTCACACAGTTAGTTACGGCAGAGCCAGATCCCAACTCTGCTATGTCTGACTCCAAAGCCCATTACTCTATTTCTTTTTTAGAGACTTATTTATTTATTTATTTATTTACAAAAGGCAGAGTGACAGAGGAAGACAGAGAAAGAAATCTTCAATCCATTGATCCACCTCTTAAAAAGGCCTGTAACAGTCAGGACTGGGCCAGGCTGAAGCCAGCAGCTAGAGAGCTCTATCTGGGCCCCCCATATGGGTGGCAGGAACTCAAGTACCTGAGCCATCACCTGCTGCTGCCAGGCCCATTAGCAGGGAGCTGGATGAGGAGTAGAGTAGCCAGGACTGAAAAGGGCATCCTAATACGGCACACAGGAGTCCTAAGAGGTGGCTTTAACCTGCTGTGCCACAATGGCCACCCCAAAGCCTATTCTTTTGAAAACACCCTAGGCTGGGGCAGATATATGGTACAACAGTTAAGCTGCCATTAGGAACCACCCACCCCCCATCCCATATCAGAGTGCAGGTTCAAGTCCCAGCTCTGCTTCCAATCCAGCTTCTTGCTAATGTGCACCCTGGGAAGCAGCAGGTAACAGCTCAAACACTTGGGTCGCTGCCACCCACATGGAAACCTGGATGAAGTTCCTGGCTCTGAATTGCAGCCTGGCCCAGCCCTAGCTATTGCAGGCATTTGGAAGATCAGTATCTCTCCCCTTTTGCCCTCTCTCTCTTTCTACCTTCCAATAAATACATACACTTTTTGAAAAATGCCCTTAGCTGGCCCAGCTAACAAGACAACCCATTCCAAATGGCCACCTGCAGGATGAGAAAAGTAGGGATTGTTCAAATGCAGTTGTATTTGGTTCTAATTATTGAACTGTCTGTGCAATGTATGTAGCAAGCATTTTTAATCTATTGTACAGAAGTGGAAAGGGTATTAGAAGTGTAACTGTGCTATTATTTCAATAAAGACCTCTTGACACCTAAAAAAAAAAAAAAAAAAAAAGAAAAGAAAAGTAGGGATTGGGCTGTGGCTACATTCCTGTTGCCAGCCTTTTTATCACTAAGACAGTGGTGCTGCTGGATTTGTGTCTGGGTTGCTTGTAAGACAAACTGCTAAGCTTTGTAAAGTGCATTAAAGAATATCCACAAGTCAAAACATAGCCAAAACAATGGTTACGATGACAACAACAACAAAAACAACTCAATATCATGGTGCAGCTGGTGCAAAATGATATTGCTCTACGCCCATAACCTGGTTTGATTGTCACTTCCTGTCTAGGACAGACCATGTGTGAACTCACATCTGGGGAGCACAAAATCTGTTCTCCATGCCTCAGCCTAAATTTTTGTGGGTCACCCTGGATTTAAAGGGGTAATCAAGATCTCAATCCCCTCACAGACAGCACGACTGGGTGGGTCCTGTGTATTCTACAGCCCTGGATCAGTGGCTTCTGGGGTGAGGAGCCTTGTCTCTTTATCCTAAGGTCCCACATGAATAGTATTATTTCCTACGTGTGTGACATAAAAGTTTGGGCAGCATTTCCCCTGATTTTCTGAAAGCCTGCTGCACAGTGAGGCTGACTGTGTGGCTGCAAATTACAAAATGGAGAAAGCTGCTTTTACCATCCAAGATCTGTGGTCAGTTTCCCCCTGTTCTCTCCCAGTTACCTAAGCCATGCTTGCGGTTTCAATTCCTGTACTTACATCAAAGCTCCTCCAATCTTTATCTCCTTCCCCCACATCTCTCCTGAGTGGCCAATCTACACCCACAAATGCTAACAACAACATGGACCCCAGATCTCCGTGGTAGCTCAGCTCCAACATGGGGCACATTAAACACTTTAAATTGAGCACCATGTGTTAGGGACCACACAAAGGTGGTATCACTTAATCCTCCTAACAAGCCTGTAAAGCAGGTGCCTGTGCTTTCACAGGAGAAAACCCAGGCCCTGAGAGGTAAGTGACTTTCCCACAGCCACAGACTCTCTGGTAGGCAAGGTTCAGAAGCACTGTCTGTGCGGGGGAGGTCCACAGACTTGCCCACACTGGTGTATTTTCTTGCTCCTGTCAAATGCTCCTCCTGGGTTCCTAAGCCAAGCCAATCCGGCCCAAATCAGAAATCCAAAGCAACCCATAAACTTCTCTCTTCCTCAAACCCCATGTGCAGTGATGCAAGAGCCTACCGGTCAGCACTGGCACTGTGGCACAGCAGGTTAAGCAGCTGCCTGCAACGCCAGCATCCCATATGAATGCTGGCTCAAGTCCTGCTGCTCCACTTCCCATCCAGCTCCCTGCTAATATGACTGAGAAGGGCAGAAGATGGCCCAAGCGCTTGGACCCTTGCCATCCGGGAGACCAGGATGGAGTTCCAGCTTACTGGCTTTGGCCTAGTCTGGCCCCAGCCATGGCAGTAACCTGGAGAATGAACCTGCAGATGGAAGACATCTCCTTCTCTGTTTCTCCCTTTCTGTTAACTCTGCCTTTCAAATAAAAAAAAAAATTATTATATATATATAAAAAGAATCCACTAGTCAATGATGCCCTCACCAGCTAACAAACTCTCACTGCTTCTACCCAGCCAGTTCCCACTGACTTCGATCAATACAAGCAGTTTATCTTGTTCCTACTTCCAGGCTGCTGAGCGCAGCTTAAGGAAAAACAAAAAGGCCTCCTCATGCTGCTTCTGACCCAGTGAGCCCGAAAGCACATCAGATTTACCTGGGGAGCTTTCAAATTTTAGGCGCACAGCCCCGTTTCCAACTGAACCGTGACCTCTGGCAGGGGCAGGCTGGGGAGATGGTATGCTCATAAAACTAGCATTTCTACTGCAGAGTTAGGGTTGGGAACCACTGCTCACCTCCTGCTTCTACCCTTGGCTGTGACCCCAGTACTGCATCCTTTCCTGGAGCTGCTCCCAACTCTTACTACGTTCCGCAGAGCAGATGGCTCTGTCTCCACCCCCACAAACAGAACCCACGACACTGGACCAACACACTCACACCCACACCTGCACGTTGCCCTCCTTTCTCCTGCGCTGGCCCCCCAGACCCACTTCCGTCTACTACTTTCCTCTCCTCCCCCCAGCCCCCGGGACCTTTTCCTCTGCAACTTCCTAGCAATCCACCCCAATGCTCACGAATCCCTATCTTTAAATGGCATCCTCCTGATTTCCCACCTTCCTTTCTACCAGTGCCTACAAAGAGGTTACAGTCACCACCTTTGTCTCCTCACACCACGCACTCTGTCCCGTGCTGAGCAGACCGTCTCCGCGCACTGCCTCCACCATGGTCTGTCGACCTGCGGAGCACAACCCAAAGGCCTGCTCTGCACGTGCCCCACACCACCACCCCCGCGCGTCTGAGCCCCCTCGGCTCCCCGCCGGCTGCTCCTTCCTGGCCTTCCGCCCGCCTCTCTCATGCTTTTTCTTAGTTTCTTCTGCCGCCTCTTTCTCGGCCCTCTCGGAGGAAGCAGTGTTCTGCAGAGTTCTGTCCTCCCCCTCACCACTGTCCCGCAGGGCTCTGACTCCTGCCCGTATGCTGGTGACCCCACATCTCTGGTTCCTCCTTCCACCCAAGTTCCAGACTCCTCTTGGAGCTATCTGAAGGCATATCTCCTCACGAGCCTGTCAAAGACGCAGGCTGCCTTCGCTTCTGCAGTCTCGGTGGATGGCCTGGCCCATCTCCCCAGCTTTCAACCAAGCCTTCACATCTGCGGCTTTGCTCAACAGCACACTCCTGGGGCTACCGTGACCCGCTGATGGACCCCCAAATTTCTTCTACTTTCTTTTTCCCCTCTGCCACTATCCTAATTCAGGTTTTATCCTATTCTCACTGGACTAGTCCAGAGGCTCCCTGACTGGTCTCCCAGCCTTCAGTCTCTCCCTGTTTTAGTCTAGCCTTTACATTACTGATCCCCTACCCCCCCCCAAAAAAAAGTAATTTCCTTGCTTTAAAAACAAACACTTCATACACATAAAGTTAACCAAGGTGGTCCTCCTACCCAAACAATTACAACTAAATCCCTTGCCTGCGTGCATATCTCTGCCTTGGGCTCCACAGTCAGCCTCACCTTCTACCCTAGGGTCTCAACCAAATGACTTCTTCCTGAAGAAAGCCTGCGCCCGGATCTGAATTTGCTCCTAGCTCCCCTCAGCCTGGTCCATGCGAGTTTCACTCCAACTCTCGGTGAAGAATGAACTGTCCCCACCCATGTGTTTCTACAATGCCATACATTGTGTTGAACGTGTACTGATATCACATGTGCTGTGGGCACCTGATTGTCTCCAACCAGACTGTAGGCCTAAAACCATAATGGGTCTCTTCCAACCTTGCCCATACCCCACTGAGCGGGACAGAGTGAGTGACCTGGACTAGCAAAGCTCAGGACAGAAATGGACACCGTGAGTGGCTCCTGGCCAGAAAGCCCACCCTTTTCTACCTATCCATGCTATTTCTCAGCTCATTCAAGAAGCCCAGGGAGCTCCTGGTCTTTCCTTTTCTCCCCCCATTCATTGCCCAGCTACCTCTGCTCCGTGTACGGCTGAATCTTTTGCACAATGATGTCGGAATCCAGCACCCCCAGGAGGACCCCAATCTGGCGGATGAACATCCCCTTCAGCCTCTCAGTTAGCTGACTGACGTTGACATCCAAGATGATCTCCACCAGGTTGTTTTTCCTGGGATCTGGAAAGCACGTGGATCAGTCATGGCTTCAGAAGTGGGAGAGTTAACACAGACCTGCCACTGTGCATTTGCTTCGGCTCTGAAGAGAAAGGAGTGAAGGCATTCAGCCCTCCTTCAGATGGAGGGGAACAATGCTGAATTGCTGATCAGTAACGGGCTGGCTTGGACACCTTCTAAAACAGTCCAGTCTTCCCATCAACCTAAGAGTGGCCACGCACGTGCTGGGACAGGGTGAGAGCAGCAATGCCTCGAGAGGTCAGTGGAGGGAAGAGAGAAACACTCAGCATTTATTCCAAAAAGCCTCTGCTAGGTTGGCATTGCTGGGCCCTCCAAGCCAAGTGGGGGAAAGCAGGCCCTCTCTCCTGACTCAGTCTGATTGTCTGAGCTTCCTATGCAGCGGGGGAAGGGAAAACATCCATCTCAACCATCTTCTCAGGAAGGGGAGGTGCAACTGTCCCTCCAGATTTCAGCACAGCAAGCAAATCCAGGCAGCCAGGAAACTGGGAGCTCCTAGAGCAGCATCGAGCTGCGCTGCTCTGCGAAGCTCCGCCACCGGGCCTACAGCTCCACTTCTGGACATGCCCTAAAGACTGCTCGAAACTTGGAAGTTAAAGCTGATTGTTCGGAATGTGTTAAATCACATACCACCATTTGCCTGTTCTGGTGTGTAATTTACATAATTAGCAGACTATCTGTGATTCTAAAAACTAAAGCGACTTTGCAGTGTCTCGGCTGTTGTCCTCCCTAGAGGCAGGACAAAGACAGAGACCCCTTCCCATCTAAGACAGCCTGTACAGGAGCTTGGCCTACATAATAAACAGGAGGTCTGAAGTTAATGCCTTCTTATCAGAAGCTCAGGAATTTATAAAGTTTTCCCCACCTTCAACCTTATTCCTCCCTATCACCAAATTAGCCTTGAAGCAAAACAAAAACATGGTTCTATTTAAGAAGGAAATTTTATTTCTGAAAATCTAAAAAACATCAGGACATCAGCTGCTTTACCTTCCCAGAGCTGTCCGAAAAGGCCTGAGGCTCCACTTAAAAACATACACGGTTTCTGCACCTGGGAGCTGATGCGACATCGTGACTCAAGCTGTCCCTATGCTCACATCCCCAGAGCAGCCCGGTCCTCTGCAATCAAGTGCTGGACCAGGGCACAAAGGCCTGGCTCTGACACAACTGCTGTGTGACACTGAGCAAGCCCTGCCTCTCTGAGTTTCAGCTTCTCCATCTGAACTGAGCAGGGAGAGGTCTGTGCTTCTGCACGGGTAGGAGGGCACTGTTGGAACAGTCTCTGAGGACTTCTCAGCCTGAAGTCTCTAGATTTTGGATAAAAGCAGATATGCCATTTAGCTCTGTCTTTGCCGAGGGGAAGGAGTCTCAGGAGAGGGGCCCTGGCTGGCTAATCCAGCAATCATCTTGCCACAGAATGAACTCACCAGGTTTCACCTCCACAGTGGTCCGGTCTGTGTCACTCTCACCCTTTGCGTCAGTCACTTTCAGGTGAAATGTGTAGGTTCCCTCAACCAGGTTGGAAAGAAAGAGGACAGGGTGATGGTCAGAGTGGTTTAACACCTCCTGTAGGATTGAACAACAAGGCTCAATTGCAGGACAAAACACCACTCCTTTCTTGGAGTCAGCTGCTGCTCCTGCCAGGATCAAGCCCCACTGGGCTGCACTGTCAATGCTGGGCAGCTCATGACCTCTAACAGCACTGCAGGCCACAGCTGCTAGGGTCAGGGGAGAGAAACCCATTCTAACTCACTCAAGCATGCAGGTTAACACCGAACAGGTCATTCAGAGAACAACCCAGGCTTGACACGAGGGGCTTTTCGGTTAAACAGATACTGACAGGGCCAGTGTAGTGGGTAAAGCCACTCCTACAATGCTGGCATCCCATATGGGTACCAGTTTGAGTCCTGGCTGCCCGACTTCCTGTATAATATGCCAGGGAAAGCAGTGGAGGATGGCCCAAGACTTGGGCCCCAGCTACCCATGTCGGAGACCCAGATGAAGCTCCTTGCTCCTGTCTGCAGCTTGGCCCAGCCCTGGCCATTGTGGCCATTTGGGGAATGAATCTGTCTCTCCTCCTCTCTCTGTAACTCTGACATTCAAATAAATAATTAAATCTTAAAAACAAACAAAAGATACTGAAATGCTGCACCTCCTCCTCCTCTCTGTGTTGTTGCCTCAACCTCTGTGGCTCCCCAGCTCCCGGCACACTTACCCCTGCTGCTGGGCTCCCCTCATCTCGAGTCCAGTGGTAACTGACGATTCCCTTGTCATCTGAGGACTTGGAGCCATCCAGCTCTGCTGTGTTTATGGGCAGGGTAATCACCACATTCCCAGTTATCCTGGCTGTAGGTGGTTTGTTCATTTCTAGCCAAAGAGAAAACATTGAAATAATATGACATTCTAGAAAAGAAGGAAGCCATCTTCATGGTGCTTTTGGGAAATTAAACATCAAGAGCACTTTAAATGGAGAACTATTTCCAGTGCCTGTCCATGCCAGTGTGCATGTCCCCAGGCTCCTGTCCCACCACAGAAATGTGCTCCTGGCACCAGCACACAGGGGCAAGTGTGCATTCCTCCGGTGCTCTCATGGCAGCCGTCCTAAGAGGAAGGGGAAAATAAAGACCCAAGGTGACTTAAAGCTTCAGAGTTTGGGTTTCATCAACTGATACCAAAAATTCTCCTTCAAAATCTCTTAAAGTGTTATTTACTTTTGATTCCTCCCTTGGTACTTCATGAGAGACAAAGGAGAGGGAACTCTCTTATCCTGGGCCTGCTTGACACTTTGTTTGCTCAGTATACTGTGTCTGGAGCTCAAGGTACCAGGCCTGCACACCCAGTGGTTTTTCTGACTCTCAGCTTCTGGCCCTCATTAGCCACTGTGCCTGCAAAGCAGAGCAAGGCCAATCAAGCCCTTGCATTTAGTCAGCCTCAGCACACAGGCAACAGGAGGCTGCAGTGCGGCACAGTCATTCTCAGGCCTGACAGCAGGTGTCACTGTAACCAGAGGCAGAGTCACAGACACCACTGGTCTTGGCACAAAAGCAAAATAAAAATACAAAGAAAGAGCCCTCAATCCTTTCCCAGTTCAATTTAAAAGAAAGACATAAAGAGTTGGGAGACAGGGAGGGGAGAGAAGGAGGGAAACAAAAACTCACTTTGCAGTCACTCTCACTTAAAAGTTGTTTTAGAAAAGCAAATAACAGGGGCTGATGCTGTGGCACAGTAGGCTAAGCCTCTGCCTGTGGTGCTGGCATCCCATGAGTGCCAGCATTCCCATATGGGTGCCGGTTCGTGTCCTGGTTACTCCTTTTCTGATCCAGCTCTCTGCTTATAGCCTGGGAAAACTGGAAGATGGCCCAAGTGCTTGGGCCAATTGGGCCACTTGGGCCACTGCAACCATATGAGAGACCCAGAAGAAGCTCCTGGGATCCTGGCTTTGGATTGGCCAGTGATGGTCACTGTGGCCATTTTGGGAGTGAACCAGTGGATGGAAGACCTTTCTTTCTGTCTCTCCCTCTCTCTGTCTACAACTGTACCTCTGGAAGAAGAGGAAGGAAGAGAGGAAGGGAGGGAGGGAGGGAGGGAGGAAGGGAGGGAGGGAGGAAGGAAAGTAACAGCTGCCCCTGCCCTGCCCTTCTTTCCCACCTCTTGTCTCTAATAAATTTCTGTAGCCAATAAAGCAAGAGAGATTCCTCAGCTATCAGACCCAAAAAGGTGCTGCACAAACTAGAGGCAGGGAAGTACCTTCTCTGACAATGACATTCACAGAGCTCTGGCTCTGCAGATTCCTCTCATCTTTGACAGTCAAGGTGAAAACGTAGGTCCCCACTTGCAGCCCGGTCACCGTGGCGACACTGCTGTTGGCGTTCTCAAGCTGCACTCCATCAGGTCCCCTGGAGGAAGACAGCAATCGGAGGGTGGAGCTCTACCTATGTACTGCTCTTCCGTTCCTGACACAGCAGGGAGAAACAGTTATCGCCTCTGCTAAGACACCAACTGTTGTGTCTCGGCTTTAACAGGACACATTTAAAAATATTCCGTGTGGACAAAGTATCATTTGGTCCCAAAATTCAAGTTACCTGCTGATCACAAAATTCCATGCACCAGTGTTCAAAATACATGTAGCCTTATCCTTTATATCAGCTTCTATAAATTAGGACTCTTAACTATTTCAGTTTATAAAAAGAAGAAAATTCTCTGAGCAGGTATCTGATCAACAGGATGAATTCAGAGTGAGGTTTCTGGGTGGACATTCAGTTCGGTGGTTCAGAGGCCCATATCCTACATTCTGCTAATGTGGACTGTGGCATGCAGCAGGGGATGGCTCAGAAATTGAGTTCCTCCACCTGCGTGGAAGATCTGGATTGAGTTCTGGCTCCTGGCACTGACCTAGCCTAGTCCCAGCCGTTGTGGGCATTTGGGGAGTAAACTAGTAGATGGGCCATTTCTCTCTGTCTCTATATCACTCTCTGCCTCTCCCATTAAAAAAAAAAAAAAAAAAAAGTGATGCTTCTGAAAAGCATTTCTGGCCCATAGCTGGCTTGGCTCTTGCCAGTAAAGAGGCAAAATGCATTCCTTCATCACATGCCCAAATCCCTCCTGGTGAAGAGGCAAGGGAAGGCAACGGGCCAGGGCTGCAGAGGAACTCTAGGGACACAGCCACTTCTCCGCAGCTCTATCAGCAAAGCTCCCTGCAGTTCCGGGACAGGGCCAGAGCGGACAGGATGCCTGCATCCTTTCTTCTCCCCTTGGGACCTGAGAGCAGCTTAGACAGGGCACTGAGCTCTGTGCCAACACCAACCACAAGGCTTGCAGGGAGCCAGAGAGCCCTTCTGCTCAAGGATCCAAATGCCCCAAGCTTTGCTTAAACTACAGGAGAGCCGGTGAAATCTGTGGACTCGAGTTTGCTTTCTTTGGTTTTGCTTTTTAAATTCAGAGCCTCTGAGCCAAGTAGTGTCTCCTGCAACAGTCTTCTCCAAGAAGCAATATTAAGCTTGATCCCTGCTGTAAGCACTAACAAAAGTCAGCTAAAAGGTTTATCAGCTGTATCTTCAATAAGCAATTGTAACAAAAACATGCTGGGCTGCGGAAGAGCTGTCTCTCTGTAATAAGAGAAATAAGAGCTGAGGGAAATAATTTCTAGAAACCAACACAGCAACCACCAATCAAATGGTTTCTATAGTCAAATTAAACCTGTTCCACCGATCTCTAATATACCTAGCCGAAACAACAAAACAAAACAGAAAACCGAGTCTGTTCAATGGCTGCTACCTTTGGAAATCAAGAATGCTTTTAACTTTCCCTTGGGATTCTCTTGCTTCCTGTGGGATCCTGCATATAATTTAAGTTCCATTTGTTATGGTTTAAAGAAGCTAAAAGAAACTGTGAGAACCAGGAATGGTCCAATTAGGTAATTTCAGTTTAATCAGTATTATTTTGGTAAAGACTTTGGCCTCTGGCTAACTTAATTGCTAAATGATGTCTTCAAGGAAACAATAACAGAGTGATGCTTTCATTTTGTACAGGAATTTTCAGTTCCTCTTAACAGCTGCTCTGCCCCATCCCCCCACCAGCATTACCTTGTTAATTTTGAACAACAGTACTTTTCTGCTCCATTGCCCCTTCCACCCTGCCTCTCACGTGTAATTACACTATGCGTTTCAGCAGAGGGATTGTACCTGCAAAAGCACCATGATCACATGGTACTCTCTGGGGTAGCTGATGGTAAGCAGTCTTCTTTTTCTTATAAAAATTTCTTTTAATGCCATTTTCTTTGCAGTGACATTGGGGATTGCAAACATTTCTTTCTCAATAACCCCACTGCGTGAGCTCACAGAGCAACTCAGTTCTTATAAGCAGACACAACTCGGCTCTTCCGAGGCCTAGAGGCTGTGTGTGGATGAGGGCTCCCCGTCAACACTCACTGTGTTTTCTCCCAGAGGTATGAAGCAATTCTCTGGTCATCTGAGCTCTTGCTGCCATCCAGGGTTGTGCTGTCCACGGGCAGGGTCAGCTCTTTGTCTGGGCCGGCATCTGCTTGAGGAGGCTTGTTGTTCTCTAGGAGACAGAGATGCAGAGGTCAAAAGCAGTCCATCTGGATGGGAAAGGAGAAGACCCAATGGGACACATGTCCTGGAAGCTATGGGAACCCTGCCTCTCAGTCCACAGGACTGTCAGATCCCTGGGAGAGATGGATACCAGCAGGGAACATAGACAAAGTACCAAACAATTCTGAAAGAATAAGAGTAGTTACAATGCCATGTTATGTCTGAAATCTAATGTTACACCAGTTCAATGAAAGGATGTGAGTGGTGAGACAGGACTTTTCTGTGGAAGTGGGTTTTATCCCGGCCACTGGAAAACATGGTAGGATTTGGGGTGGCATAGAGCCTATCTCCTGGGTGCCTGTAAAGGCACAGTAAGTATCCAAAGCAAGGTCACACACAGAGGCTGGGAAGAACGTTTTATCTCCAGCTATCAAGAAAGCACAGGGGAAATGGACAACAGAAGCTCCACAGATGCGCATTCTGCTTCCCTCCTCATACACCTCGGAGCTAAGGGCCCCATGGACCCCCCACCAAGGCTGAACACACAAGCCACAAGGTTGGAACTCACCAGGCTGCACAATAACAGTCACTTGAGCAGTGGCCTGCTGTCCTATGGTGTCTGTCACCATGAGTTGGTAGGTGTAGTCTCCTTCTTGCATTGCAGAGAGCTGCAGGATCGGTGTTCTAACACCCTATATGTGTCAATACAGAAGTGGGAAAATGGACTGCCATAAGCACAATATCCCACAATAACCCCTACTCTGGTAGAAGTGATTTACTCAGTTTTCTAAACCCAAATTTGTATTGGGCTATTACCTCCCAATTCAGTCTAATTAGTGACCCTCAATCAGACACCATGAGTCGTCTTACTAAGACTTTGCCCAGATTCTACAACAGCAGGGAAACCTGACAGTTAACATGTGGGCTCTAAGTCAAGCCTCAAATCGAGAAACAGAGAACCCTGAGGATCAGCAGGAACATCATAAATAATTTAGGGCAAACTCCCAATGCAGGAACTTCCTGTAGAACAGTGGGCAAAAGCTGGCAGCCTGTGGGTTGAACACAGCTTGGCCTGCAGTGTCTTAAAAGTTAGAAATTTTAAATAAAGTTCTCCACTCTGTCTTCTCTTGAAACACCAGACTATTAAGCAATATTGGTACCACACTTCCATGTGGCAACAACTGGCTGGTCCCGAGGAGTAGGATGGACCCATTCATCAGGGCTTGTGCTTTCTGGCTCTCTACAACCATCCCCCATACCCCAACCCCCCCACCCCCACCCCCGTTCACATGTTTTCTGGCTCACCATAACCATCCCCCACACCCCCATTCACATGCTTTCTGGCTCACCACAACCACCCCCTCCACCCCCCCATTCACATGCTTTCTGGCTCACCATAACCATCCCCCCACCTTCCCCCCATTCACATGCTTTCTGGTTCACCACAACCATTCCCCCACCCCCACCCCCACCTCCATTCACATGCTTTCTGGCTCACCACAACTACCCCCCCCCAGTACCTTTTATTTATTTGTCTAATCTGATCTTCCCAGAAAGAAGGTACTCAACCTATAGTAAAACAATCTATTCCAATTTGTAACAGAGCTCATTCAGATTTGTACCCTTGTAGCTCCCAAATTATTTGACTGTCTGGAGTCATCCAAAACAGCCACATTTCTCATTCAGTCTTTTCTTCTAATGCTGAATGTTTAAGACAAAGATTTTCCTGAGGGGCTGGCATTGTAGCATAGTGGGTGAAGCCAAAGCTGCTACCTGCAATGCCGGCATCCTATATGGGTGCTGGTTTGAGTCCTGGCTGCTCCACTTCTGATCCAGCTCCCTGCTAATGTGAGTGGAAAAAGCAGCAGAAGATGGCCCAAGTGTTTAGGTCCCTGCCACCCACATGGGAGATCTGGATGAAACTTCCTGGCTCTGGCTTCAACCTGGCCCAGCCCTGGCCATTATGGCCATCTGGAGAATAAACTAGTGAATGGAAGCTAGCGCTTGCACTCACTCACTCTCTCTCTGTAACTCTTCAAAATAAATAAATAAATCTTAAAAAAAAAAAAAAAAAAAAAAAAAAGATGTTCCTGAACATGCTAACCAAAGTTTCCTAAAGCTTTCTGAATTTCTTTATTATTATTATTATTTTACAATCTAAATGGTCTATGCGCAAACCTGACTTTGGCAGTACAAATGGAGCAGAAATAAGCCTTGGATAGGTAACTGAGTCCAGCAACTCTACTTCCCCTGAGAGAGAAAAGGCAGGAATCACCCTCCTACCTGCATCTCCACCACTTTCCCTTTGCTATTTGGGCTGAGTGACCACTCATAACTGCTGATGCCATGATCATCGGTACTCTGGTTCCCAAAGAGGGTGATGGAGTTTTGGGGTAGGGTGATGACTTGGTTAGGGCCTGCATTGGCCACAGGAGGGTAATCCACAGCTTTGTTCACTGTCAGGTTGGCAGTGGTAGAATTGGTAGCTCCATCAGAGTCTACCACAGTCAAGCTGTTGGAGCAAACAGAGGAGTACAATTAGAAGTGGGTTTAAGGAAAGAGGAATAAACATGACAGGGCTAAGAGGTACCACGGTGGGAAGGTTACCAATTCTCATCCATTCCTCTGTGGAAAGCAGAGAGTAACACTAGAAGATAACACTGAGTGCTTACCATGTGCCAGACACTGATCCAAGTGTGTAGTAAGTAGCTCATTAAATGTGCATGACAGCTACAGTTCTACAAAGTCTCTTCCTCCTTTGATTCCTTACATGTATAAGGAAACTGAGGCAAGGAGAGGCACAGTAACTTGCCCAGGCTCACAGAACTTGGCAGCTGTGCGTTGGGATTGGATGCAAGTAGTATGTCTCCAGCACCATTTTGTTCTCCTGTCTGCTGAGGTCTTTTAAGCACCTGAAATGGTTCTCACAACCACCCTGGGGGAGGTGTCTTTGCACGTTACAGGAGGCTTAGAGGAGCCAAGCACAGTACCCAGGGTTACATGGTGAGCCTAATTCCAAAGCTCAAAAACCACATCTTAAGAAGATACTGTCCCTGGCCCCAGTCTTGTGGAGTTCAAAGACACTGCACTAAATACAGCAAGCTCTGTCTGCAGCGGGCTGTCCTGCCATCAAGCTGGTTAAGCCCTGTACAGATCACAAGGATGGATATCCTGGGCAGACTGAGCCTGGGATGAACCAGGAAGCCTGGCTACAGTAAGGCAGGAGCTTGTGATGGAAATGAATTCTCCTACGCAACAGTTCCACAGTTTGTGCCAGTGAGAAACAGGATTTGCAAGAGAAAAAAAAATGTTCTTTTAAGAGCAGACTTTTACCTAAATGATGCCTTCCAGCTGAACAGCCTAAAGCTTCTCATGCCACCTTAAAATGTGAGCATAAGCAAGCAAGGAGGTTTGGGCTCCTTCCATTTTGCTGACAGAAAGAGGATAAGCATAGAAAAGACATGTGGTTTGTTTAAATCTCACCACCAACCACAGACAGAGCCAGACATCTGTGAGATTTCATCCCACGATCTCACCTTTTACCTAGGGTCTGAAGGGGATTTTTGGTATTAAACTCTTTAGAAAAAAAAAAATCACAAAAGCTTCAGATACACATATGTGCACAAACCAGCAAGTATCAGAAACAGAAAAATTTGAAGAAGTTTTGACTCTTTTCCCAATGTCCATATAGTTTTCACAGTGCCCACTGCTGTGACTTTCACCTCAGGCACTTCCTGGACTTCCCAAAGGGATCCCAGAGCCAAACAGCAGCTGACCACAAGGCTGGGGAAAGAGGCCTTCACTGTGTAAATGTAGCAAAGAGGAAAAAGTGAGTGAGGCGCAACCAGACTGGCTCTTGCTGCTACTTTAATCCAATCCCATCATCACACAGGAAAAATAACTAAAGGTTAGGGAAATAAAATTGCTCCCAAGACCCCAATCTACCATTAAAGGTGCAGGCCAACACTGGGGTCAAATGCCTAGAATCTGGAGTCAGACTGCTGTGTGACCTTGGGCAAGTTACTTAACATCTTTGTGCTAAAACTTTCTAATATATAAAATGAAAATAATCATAATACCTGTTAAAAGAATTAAATGAGATACTGTGAGGAAGTAGCTCAGAATAGTATTTATCATATAGTAAATATTTTCAAGAAATATTATTATGATTTTTTAAAAACTAAGTAAAAAATGTCTGATATTAGAAATTGAAGAAAAAAAAACCAAATTTCCCTTATAAGCCAACTAGAAGGCTCTAATTTGTACTGGCAGCTACTTTTCACTCATCTGAAGTCTTGAATCAGTGGGAGTGCTGTAATTCAGAACTTGCATATTGATTTCTATGTAGGTGTTGTGCTAGGACACTCATCTCTCTGTCCTTAATAGTGTCTAAAACTTGATTAATCTCAGATTCATGGGAAGACAGACACCTAGGAATAAGCTGTCATATGTCATACCACGCACGGTAAGGCAATGAGAGCAACAGGAAAGAGGAGAGCCACAGCTTTTCCTCTCTGGAGAAACGGAGCAGGTCCTTAAGAACAGTCAAAATTTCAACAGCTTGAGAAGAGTATTCAAAGAGGCAGAAACAAAATATACAAGAGGTCTTCAAAAAGTTCATGGAAATTCATATTATGAAAAAAATGCATGGATTTAAAACTTGTTGTACCCAAATAAACTTTATCTTTTAATTTCATTTTCTTAGGGCTTTTTGGTCATACAAGGACCAAGTAAAGAAGCAAGGCAGAATTAAGCCCTGACTTGGGTGTCAGAAAATTCGCATTTCAATTCCAGCTGTGTGACCTTAGAGACGTTCCTAAATACAAGAAGTTACTGAATACTCATTTTCCTCAGCTGTAAAAAGACAACGTATCATCTACATATCATGTCTGAATGACACCTATGTAGAAATAACATGTGAGGAATTATGCAAATACAGGGATTACTCTAGAGTCTGCCTTAAAGCCTTATTAATCACCCGTAATTCCCAAAAGGACTTTGTTTGAATCAAATTCACAAGAAAGGGGGCAGGTATTATGGAGCAGCAGGTTAAGCCTGCACCCACTCGGGAGACCTGGATGGAGTTCCTGGCTCCCGGCTTCTGTCTGGGCCAGCCCTGGCTACTGTAGGTATTTGGGGTGTGAACCAGTAGATAAAAGATACTTCTCTGTCCCTTTCTCTCTCTCCCTCCCTCTCCGTGTCATTTTGCCTTTGAAACACATAAATTTTTAAAAAATCCTCCCAAAAGCCCTAGTAGAGAAAGAGCCTACAAACTGTAGCTGAGCAAACCACTAGTCAAAAGTGAAGATTCTGAGGTCCCCTCGCTGAGACAGCATGTAAAGAGGAAGAGACAGCATGGGGTAGGTTCCTGCTAGATGGTGCCTGAGAAAAGGCAAAGGATGATTGGGCCTTTTCACTTGGTGATAGAAATCTGGAAAAAATTTGGAAGATCTTCCACATAAGGCTTCAAAAGAGATTAACTGTGGTAGATCCTGAGCTACTACACAAGACGTTTGCCGCGGATGGCATTACCATCATCACAGGACTCAAAAAACCAACGGAACCAAAGGCTGTGCAGTCAGCTCTTCCTAGCCAAAGGTCCCACATCCACAGATTCAACCAACCTCAGAGAGCAACTATTGCACTTTTAAAAAATTATGTCTGGGCCAGCGCTGCGGCTCACTAGACTAATCCTCCACCTGTGGCGCCAGCACCCTGAGTTCTAGTCCCTGTTGGGGCACCAGATTCTGTCCCGGTTGCTCCTCTTCCAGGCCAGCTCTCTGCTGTGGCAGAAAAGAAGGCAGTGGAGGATGGCCCAAGTGCTTGGGCCCTGCACCCGCATAGGAGACCAGGAGGAAGCAAGCACCTGGCTCCTGGCTTTGGATCAGTCCAGCGCGCCGGCCATCGCGGCCATTTAGGGGGTGAACCAATGGAAACGGAAGACATTTCTCTCTGTCTCTCTCTCTCTCACTGTCTAACTCTGCCTGTCAAAAAAAAAAAAAATTATGGCTGTCCGGAATACATACAGCCTTTTCCTTATCATTATTTCTTAAATAATAAAATATAACAACTATTTACATAGCATCTACATTGCATTAGGTATTATAAGCAAGCTAGAGATGATTTGTATACCAGAGAATACACTGGTTTCTCTTCAGATCATATAAATCTTTCACCTTTTACTGAAGTATACCGGAGGCTGTAGGAAGGTTATATGCAAACACTATACAATTTATATAAATAAGGAAACTGAGCACCCATGGATTTTGATATCTTGGGGGGTGGGGGTCCTGGAACCAATCCCCTGTGGATACCAAGAGATGACTATATTATCAACCAAATCCAGAGGAAATGTGAATTATTCCTATAAGACTGTAAAGTCCCAGGTCCAGTGCTGTGGTAAAGCCGCTGCCTGTGTCTCCAGCATCCCATACGGGCACTGGTTCAAGTCCCATCTGCTCCATTTCTGATCCAACTCCCTGCTAATGCATCTGGAAAAGCAGTGGAGGATGGCCCAAGTCTTTGGGCCCCTGTACCCACATGGGTGACTCGGAAGAAGTCCCTGGTTCCTGACTTTGGGTAGGCCTAGCTCCAGCCATTGCAGCCATTTTGGGGATGAACCAGCAGATAAAAGGTCTGTCTGTCTGTCTGTCTGTCTCTCTCTCTGGAACTCTGCCTTTCAAACAAATAAATAAATCTAAAAAAAAAAAAAAAAAAGAATGTAAAGCCCCTGAGAGAAAAACAAATAAACAAGCAAACAAACATGGCATCGGTTAAATGTGAATCTAGATCCTAATTTACCTGAAAGTGTAGTTCCCAGGGACGAGCTTACTTAGTTTTAATATGGCTGTATCTTCAGAAATCTTCTCTTCTCTCAGAGGCCCTTTTAGTTCCTCCCAGTGGTACTGGACGATTTTATCATCATCAGTGCTTTCTTGATCATAAGGAAACATCAGTTACAAAAGAATGCTGGGTCTCAGCACTCATCCACCTTAAACAAACCAGGGCAACTACCCAGAGATTTGAAGCTAGGAAAACTCCGTGAGATCACAGACTATCCTCCAGAGTGTTTCTTTCCTAGGAATAACGGGTCATTCTGCCTCTCTATGAATATTCCACTGCCTAGTTTTCCAAGGATTCCAACACAGGCAATCTCTGGTTAAAATGCTACTGTATGAATAAAGGAAAATCTATAATTCTTAACCACAAGAAAAGATACTCAACCTCACTTAAAATAAATGCAAATTAAAGTTATATTTGAAACATCATTTTTTAACCTATCAGATGGATGGGTATAAGTGTGGAGAAAGAGGTCCTCTCACTAGTCATGATGGACATATAAACTGATAGACCCTCTATAATGAGTAATTTGGCAATATTTATCTTTGCCCCTGCAATTCTTCTAGAAATCTGTTGTGCATACACTAGGGCAGGCATTAAAAATCAAGTTTTACAACATTATTAATGTGGTAACACTGTTAATAGCAAAAAAGTGAAAGCAATCTAAATAGTCATGAATATTGACTATAAATAAGCAAATATTCACACAACAAAATTACACATTCATATAATGGAATGCTATATAGTTGTTCTAAAAAGAGTGAATAAGCACTTCATGTATGAGAACTGATTCAGAAAACTCCTGCAGCATACAGAAACAAGCATCATAGCTAAATGAAAAATAATATATTATCATTTGCATAAACAAAGGGGATAATGACTATGTATATATTTTCTTAATATGTACATAAGCTATCTCTGGAAGGATATATAAAATAACATTATTGGTTGTCTAGAGGAAAACTGGAGAGCTGAGAGACTGGGATGCTATAATTCTTCTCACTGTGTCCTTCTATGTATTATTTAACTTTGATCTCTTCAAACCTACAAGTAATATGGTAAATAGGAACCCTTTATACCACATGCTATCATAAGGGTTTCTACACATTCTCTCTCTTCCCTCTTGGCCTTCCATCTTCCTAGTCTCCTCTTCTTGCCACAATCACTGACACGAAATGCTTAATCTTGCTAGAAAGTCCTTGGATAAAGCAGTGACTCTCTGCCAAAAACCATTGTTGGTGCCAAGACAGTCACTATAACAGGCCTTTAGGGGGTCTCAAAAGAAATCAAGCAAATACTGGTGAGAGGATAGGCTGAAACCTGCACACTCACAGAACAAAGACCCAGAAATCTTTTCATGGCACTCATTAGGTGACATGACTCTGAAGAGGAAAACATTAATGAGTGCAGGCAAGGGTGTAGAGAGCATTCTCTGAGTCCTACAACAAAACAGACAACAATCTTGTGGGCAATAATGGCTGGGTGAGAGCACTTCAGTCAGGTTTCTCATTTATGTAGGAATTTTGTTTCCATAACCAAGAAAGGCAACTCTGTGTAAGCAAATCTGAACAAGGAATTTCAACTAAAATAATGCTAAATACATTGTCTTATCTTCTCAAAGAAATACTACTTCATACACATCACATAGAAATTTGAAATAGGACCTGTCTGGTTTATTACTTCCTAACAGTTGCTTCCAGATGCGTGGTCTTCCCGTGACTTGGCTAAGATAATGGCCTAACCAGAATGCAGACATGTCCAGCCCCAAATCTTCCACCAGGGTGTTCCACCCAGGTAACACAGTGAATGTCTTCTAAAACATCACGTTTAGACCAGTACTCACGGCTGCCATCTATGACCGTAGACGTGGTTGGCAGAGAGATCTCCTGAAACTGAGGTGACACAATAGCAACAGGAGGCTGATTCTTACGGGGTTCTGTAACAAGGTGACAAGGGAGAGATTGGGAAAGGGGATTTAACAGAAGAAAGCTACATCTGAGTGGATACTTAACAGATGGTTGAGGCATCACCAGATGTGAAAGTCTCAAGACCAGGCTGCCATTTTAAACCAACACCCCTGGGATGATAAAAGTCACTTCCAAACCTGACCATTCCTATGCACTCTGAATTTCAATGTTCAGGTGTTGTCTAGTTTACAAAAAGCACTTTAGCAGCAAGTGACTACTTTGGGGCAAGTCTGCCTGGAGCAGGACAACACACAAGCTTTGTGTGATACAGGCCTTGGCAAGCAAACCATCCCTTGGCACAGACTGTGGTGGAAAGCTCAGCCATCACTGAGCTGTGTGTGGGGTTGCCATAGCTAAGTGATAGGAAGGTTACAAACCACTCTGGTCCACCCTAAAGACTGAGCTACAAACCCAATGACTTTGTCCTTGAGGAATGTCAAATGGTGTTCATTTTATTACATTTCTTTAAAAGATTCACTTATTTATTTGAAAGGCAGAGTTAGAGAGGGGAGAGAGAGAGAGAGAGATGAGAGAGAGAGAGATCGTCCATCCATCTGTTCACTCCCAAAATGGCCACAATGGCCAGGGCTGGGTCAGGCTGAAGCCAGGAGCCTAGAACTCCATCTGGGTCTCCCATGTGGGTGGCAGGGGCCCAAGCATTTGGGCCATCATTCACTGCTTTCCCTGGCACATTAGCAGGGAACTGGATTGGAAATGGAGCAGCCAAGACTTGAAGCAGCACTCATATGTGAAGTCAGCTTGACAGGCAGCAGCCTAACCCACTGTGCCACTGTGCTACTGGCACAGTGATGCCCCAGTGCTAATACATTTTAAAGGAGGTGAAATGATTACTTTGGCTACAAAGTTTAGGAAATGAAAAGAGAATCAAGTACCAACAAAGATAAAAAACAGTATTGGGGGACCAGCACTGTGGTGTAGCAGATAAATCTTCAACTTCTCCCAAATTTCTCTGAAAATCCAAAACAAGACACCTTGCTACTACACTGTGACCTACCCACAGTGGCTCATTTAAAAAGAATGACAGGATTTGGTTTCCAAGGTGGAAGGGATGGTAGGGTTTCAATGAGGAACTCTGGAAGATCAGAAAGGACCTATCACTTGGCTGGCTCTCCTGCATGTTTCTCCAAGGCTTCTGGTTTCTTCCTATCTCTTAATTACAGCACATGGTGCGCTCTCAGCTTGGCCCACTTGGGGGAGTAGTTCTCAGGGAGACAGGCTATTGCTCAGGCCACACTGCTCTGTGGGCTGCCTAACTAATGCTCCCCTGCCAAGCCCACTGTTCCCATTAGAACACTTGGAACAAAGTACATATCTTGCTACTATAATCTTTTGCTACACTGAACTAGGAATTGCTCGATAAATTTAATATGTACAAAAAAAGATTGGGAATTAAAAACCCCGAAGTCAAATCTTCATCTCCTTGGGAGGCCTGCAGAGGGAGCAATGGAGACACAGCTGGAGCTGGCAACACATACCTGGCTCTACAGTCACATTCACATAGCCTTCCCCGTGGGCATTTTGACCATCTACAATCACTTTAAATTCATACAGGCCGGGAGTGAGCTGTGGAAGCAAGAGAAAACCTGTTAGCCACAAAACGTAGCAATTACATTGAATACATACATCTGAGTTTTCCCAGGCTTAACCTTTCATTCTTTTGCTCTGCTTCTGAAATGGAAAAAAGTATAAACTATCTAAGGAAATGAAACAATAAATTAAACTAAAACAACAAACAAACAAACAAAAAAACAGAGCTTTTAATGTGCATCTTATTACTAGCTGACTCCGGAACAGAAGGGATTTCAATATCTCTGTACTCCCATTTTCTTTTCAGAAGAACATTAAGGGCCCAAACAGCCTACTTCACAGAGTTATGAAATTAAAATAATCAGTTCCTCAAAGAAAAACATTTTGTAAAAATAACAAATAATTCCCCACTATCACCATTTTCACTAACTGCATAAATGGGGAAAAAAAACAATAAAATCACCCACTATCGCACTATATTATAACACATCAATCCATTATATTCCTCTATTTTCTTCCTATCCTGACTACATACAAAAAGTAGCTCATTTGTTCAACAAACATTTGTTGAGACCCAATCATGTACCAGTCACTACCCCAGACTTTGGGTTGGCAGAGCAACAAGGTAAGATCTCTACCACCTTCGAAGAGCTCATACTTCAGTGGTATTCAAGGTCAAGCTAAAATGAAAGTATCAAACTTTTCAATGCTATTCCTCCCATTCATTTAGTATGAACACTTTCCCCATTTTGTCACACAATCTTTTTAATATGCCTTTTAATGACTGCAGAATAGCCCATGAATAAATGTGTCCTAATTCACATATGCATTCTACATTGTTGGATACCTGAGTTCTTTCCACTTTTTTACTATTATGACTAATACTGTAGTGAACATCTTCCAGGAGGATGTGGTTTTTTCTCGAAGATTACCTTCTTTGAGTAAATACTAATTGATGCAGGTAGCATTTTTCATTACTTCCATCTCCTTTTAATGCTTTCCTGCTGGGTTTTACCTCTCTGCCATACTCATTTCCTTCTGCTTCCTCACTCTCTACCCTTAGGATGACAGTGTACCCAGGATTCTATCCTCAGTCTCCTTCACTCTACCCTCTCCTCCGTAGGTCTTATCTATAACTATGGCTTCAATTATCATCTGTTTGGGGTTGACATGCAAATTTATCTCTCTTGCTCAGAGCTGTCTCCTGATCCCTAGCCCCTTACCCCCAGCTACTAAATGGATAACTCCACTCAAATGTTTCACAGGTACCTCAAACTCATCCTGTCCAAAAATGAACTCATCATCTGCAAACCTCCCCCAAAGCTGTTCCCTCTTCTATGCTCCTCGTTTCAGGAAACATCCATGCAGGTACCCAACCAAAAGGCTAGGGTTATCCCAGACCTCCCTCCCCAACACCTCCATCCAACTCACTGATCATTACATTTTATCCAGCTGCCCTCCATTTTACTGCTCACATCCACTCACTTGTCTCCAGCCACACTGCCATCACCTTGGTTCTCAACCACTCCTCACAGCAGTTATTAAAATGAGTTCTGGGCCGGTGCCGCAGCTCACTAGGCTAATCCTCCGCCTTGTGGCGCCGGCACACCGGGTTCTAGTCCCGGTCAGGGCGCCAGATTCTGTCCCGGTTGCCCCTCTTCCAGGCCAGCTCTCTGCTGTGGCCAGGGAGTGCAGTGGAGGATGGCCCAGGTCCTTGGGCCCTGCACCCCATGGGAGACCAGGATAAGTACCTGGCTCCTGCCATTGGATCAGCACGGTGCGCCGGCTGCAGCGCGCCAGCCGTGGCGGCCATTGGAGGGTGAACCAACGGCAAAAGGAAGACCTTTCTGTCTCTCTCACTGTCCACTCTGCCTGTCAAAAAAAAAAAAGAGTTCTGGAGATAGAAAGCTCTATATAGCCCCAAACAACCATTTAATAGCTTAGTGAACTCTGGCCAAATCACTTCAGTTTTCCAACTTTTCATTTTGTCACTTGTAAAGGAAATATTAATACCCACATCTTGGGGGTTTTATGAAGTTCTTTTTAGCTGCATAAAATACTTACATCACATCTGGCACATGGCATGAACTCAACAGATGATTTTACATTTCTATTTTACTTCTGTTGTTTTACTCAGGCTACTATCATTTTGCACTCAAATTTTCAACAGATTCCTTACTGGTCTCCCTATTTATGTCCTCCACTCTTCAATCAGGATGGATCTTTCTAAACTAGAAATCTGAACATGTCTTTCTTCTATACAGAATCTTTCCAACGCTATTTCCTCTGGATAAGATTCAAAGTACTTAATCCTACTTACAAGGTTCTGCTCGATCTGGCCCCTGCATCTCTCCAACTTACTTGAGCCGTGGGTCTTCTGAAAACTTAGGGCTCAGTCAAGCTGAACCACACACATACCATTCCTTCCTCCACACTTTCTCTCTCATTTTTGACCCAGTGGAGATGTTGATTCTGTTTGAGATATTATCCCTCCACGCAGTAAATTAACCACCTTTTATTGCCCGAGTAGGCAAACTTGAAAAAATCTACTCTAGTACCCCAGGACTTCAATACTCCTGCACTGACCTGTTATACTCACCTGCTTCCCACCAGTAGCACCTACAAGACTCTATTGTCCTTGAACATTAAGCTTATGATTAACTCACTGGTAAATCACCAATGCCTACCACTTAGCCTGTGCACAATGAACAGTTGCTGAATCAATGAGACTGCTGGGCCAAAGAATATGATCATTTTTATGGCTCTTAATAACTACAATGAATCTCAAAAGGAGTGAGCCAAAGTACAGTCATGTGGCCACAAATAACCTAGTTCATCTCCCAAATTCTAAAATCCTTATGTTACCCTTAAAGCTGTTTTGTGTGTATTTTCAGCTATCACTACCATGCTGGTACAGTCTTCTCACCATAAATGAAAATTTGAGAATCATACACTAACAAACACTGGATGTCAGCCAGTGAGACTTTTGGAGAATTCATTTCTGAAAGATCATTCCCAGCTTCAATATGGACAGAAAATACTGTGTTACACATTTTAGGAAGTAGTCAACGCCTCTATCTTAGCCCTACAAATGAAAGGAGACAAATTCACCTTGGATAGTTTGAGGACCTTGGAATATTTCCCTTCCATTTCTCCACTGTAGTCTTTAGGATGAGTAATCAGCTGCCAGTCGTAGGTGTAGGTTTCTCCTATAGAAGGGCAGTTACAAAAATCATGAAAACACACACCTACACACAAAGATGACAGCTTCATAGCCTGCCAATAACAACCCTCTTCTAAATCTTGACAAGGCCTCAGTTTTTCAAGAATGCACCCTACAGGGGCCAGCGTTGTGGTACAGTGGGTTAAACCACCACCTATGACGCTGGCATCCTACATGGGTGTCAGTTCCTATCCTGGCTGCTTGTGTCCCAGCTCCCTGCATCCACATGGGAGACCTGGATGAAGCTCCTGGTTCCTGGCTTTGGTCTGGCTCAGCCCTAGCCATTGTGGCCATTTGGAGAGTGAACCAGGAAGATCTCTCTCTCTCTCTCTCTCTCTCTCTCTCTCTGTAACTCTGCCTTTCAAATAAATAAATAAATCTTTTTTTAAAAAATTGTACTTTAGAGCCTGTACGGAAACCAAACAATTTACTGAAAGAAAGGGCAGGTTCTTCTGATTCAGTTACAATAAAGGTTTCTTTCTCTCTCTCTCAACAATGCTCATCCCTATCTCATACCTACCTTCCCCAGGGTCAATCCGCCTCAATCCTCCTTTAAAAAAATAAAGTCAGGTTGTTCCTGGTGTGGCATCCTACTGAAAATACATACCCTACCAACCACTACAGATGAACTCATTGGGAACAAAGGCCATTTTCTTGCAAAACTTTTTTTGCAACAAAGAACAGCAATGACTTCTAAATAACATGGTTCAAAAATAGCTTTTTACAGAGTGCTAACAATGCTCGTCTCACTGAGGTCATCACACCCTGGTGAGTTAAAAGAGCTACTTCATTCCTACTGAGCTAAATAATACACTGCAGAAGATGGTAGGGGATGGCCCATTTAAAACAGGCCCCACTGAAATTAATTAAGATCAAATGAAGCACTAAATGGTCCTCATTTGCAGCTCAAATTGTAGCACTAGGTAGGGTAAGGGTAGAATCCTATTATCCTAATGGAATCCCTCTCCAGTAAAAGTGGTCTTAAATTTTGGGGGAGTCAAAAGGCATTTCCAGCTAAGGATGGATGGGATGTGGTAGGAAGGTTTAGCTTAAGCTATCACTCAAGAGAGAAAAATCAAACAGCAACTGTTTAGCAGAGAGTAGTCATCTTTTCCTTATTTCATACGTTAAAACATGAAAGTCAGCACACAGACCCAATTCCAACATTTCCTTCCTCCTCCTTTCCTTCCTTTCTCTTCCTTCCTGTAGTCATCTCTTTCTTATTTCATAAATTCAAATGGCAAAGTTATAACACAGAACCTAATTCTAAGATCTCCTTCCTCCCTCCTTTCCTCTTTGCTTGCCTGCTTCCTTCCTTCTAGCAGTAATCCTTTTCCGGGTTACATGAGTTCAAATGTGAATGTTAGAACCTAAATCCAAGATTTCCTTCCTCCGTCTCCCTCCCCTACATTCTTCGCTCCCTCCCTCTCTCCTTCCCCCTAAAACTAGTATTGTTCTGGCCAGGTGCCACTCCCAATAGGTCTCAGCAATGTGCATGTAGAAGTCAGGTGAGGAGAGAAGCAAAAAAGAGAGCATGCTATGAGACATTTCTTCTAACTGTAGTTGGAAACTTTTTTCTACATAGAAAACAAATTCACATTAGTTTGAGAACTGATAATTTTGCTAATAATACCTAAGGCTATCAACACAAATTTCAAAAAGGACAATATTTGTTGGAGACAAAATGTCAGATGAAATTCACCTTATAGGCAGAAATTGGCCAAGGACAGGAACAACCAACTGAGTCTGTTATACAGAAGGCTGACTGCAATGATTGAGGGCAGTGGTTTTGAAACTGGGAACTATAAACCTGAGAGGGGTGCCAATGGCTTCCAGAGGACAGGCAGGGTTCAAGAGCATGCAGTTGGTCCTGTCTCACCACCTCAGTCCCTAAGAGTGTGAAATCACCCATCTGATAAAGGTGGAAGAAGCTGGGGAAAGGATAGTTGAAAAGAATCTGTGTCTGAGCTGATGTTTTTTGGACTGCCAATCTACAATATAACAGTAACTCAAAGAAATGTATATGTACAGGTAGGTTAGGAAAGAAAATACAGGGGCCGACGCTGTGGCGCAGCAGGTTAACGCCCTGACCTGAAGTGCCGGCATCCTATATAGGCACCAGTTCTAATCCCGGCTGCTCCTCTTCTGATCCAGCTCTCTGCTATGGCCTGAGAAAGCAGTAGAAAATGGCCCAAGCCCTTGGGCCCCTGCACCCATGTGGGAGACCTGGAGGAAGCTCCTGGCTCCTGGCTTCAGATCGGCATAGCTCCAGCCGTTGCGGCCATCTGGGGAGTGAACCAGTTGATGGAAGACCTCTCTCTCTGCCTCTCCTCTCTGTGTAACTCTGACTTTCAAATAAATAAATAAATCTTTAAAAAAAAAAAAAAAGGAAAGAAAATACAGTAGAATCTAACAAATCTTTCGTAAGAGAAGTTATCACAGCTCAAGAAAGTTCTTTCCTTAACAGCATTTTTTTTCTGTAGGATTTATTCATTCATTTGCTTAAAAGGCAGACCATCAAAAGAGAGAGATCTTTCATTTGCTGGTTCACTTCTCAAAATAGCAAAAACAGCCGGGGTAGACCAGGTTGAAACCAGGACACCAGACTTCATCCTGGTCTCCCCTATGAGTGGCAGGGACCCAAGTACTAGGGCCAACCTCTGCTGCCTTCCCTGGCAAGCACATTAGTAGGAAGCAAGATCAGAAGTAGAACAGCTGGGATGTGAACCAGTGCTCCAATATAGGATTTCAATGTTACAAGTGGCAGCTTAACCCACTATGGCACACCGACGGCTCTCACCTCACTGCGTCTTCAGAGGCTACCAAAAACCTTCATCTTAACTTCCCACCAGAGACAGAAAAGGCTTCTCTAAAGGGGGGTGGATTGAACTGACAAGGAAACCTCAATTTGAGAACATGAATATAAAAACACAGAGGACATTTAGGTTCTGAAAAAGTGCTTTTTGCATTAATACACTATGTGGTATGAGACCCATGAATCAGGAATATTGTATTGGAAATGTGTGTAACTAAAGTAGAAGGACCCCATCCTGAATGATGAAGGGCATTCTGCTTGCCTAAGCTTTTAATGAGAGAAACACAAAGCCAACCCAGTCATTTGCCATCATAGTATGCTTCACTCACATCATAAAGAGTCTTAAGAAAATACATCTGTGTTTGTAAGTCAAACATTGGTATATTAACTTATATTTCAAGGGTGAAAGGGATACTATAATTATAAAAGTTTTATTTTTTTTTCTTAAAGATGTATTTATTTATTTGAAAGGCAGAATTACAGAGAGGGAGAGGCAGAGAGGGAAGAGCTGTGCCACAATGCCACCCCGACAAATTATTATTAAATGAATTATTCATCCTCTACGTATTTTTTAAATGACTTATTTATTTATTTGAAACGTAGAGTTACAGAGAGGCAGAGGCAGAGAGAGGTCTTCCATCCGATGGTTCACTCCCCAAATAGCCACAATGGCTAGAGCTGGGTCGATCTGAAGCCAGGAGCCAGGAGCTTCTTCCAGGTCTCCCACATGGGTGCAGGGGCCCAAGGACTTGGGCCATCTTCTATTGCTTTCCCAGGCCACTGCAGAGAGCTAGATAGGAAGTGGAGTAGCTGGGACTCAAATCGGTGCCCATGTGGGATGCCAGCACTCAGGCAGAGGCTTTACCTGCTATGCCACAGTGCTAGCCCCCACCTTCTGTATATTTTACAAATTTGAGTTATGTAAATCACATTGGGCTGTATTTTTAATTTTTTCAAAAAATTTGTTTATTTGAAAGTGTTACAGAGATAGAGAGAGATCTTCCATCTGCTGGGTCACTTTCCAAATGCCTCCACAGCCTGGGCTAGACAGGCTGAAGCTATGATCCAGGAACCCCACCTAGGTCTCTCACAGAGGTGGCAGGAATTCAAATACTTGAGCCATCTTCCGCTGCTTTCCAGAACATTAGCAGGAAGCTGAATTGGAAGCAAAGCAGCCAGGACTTGAACCAGTGCTCCGATAGGGGATGCAGGCCTTTCAAGTGGTGGCTTAACCCACTATACCACAATGCTTGCCTGTTGTCTTTTTTTTTTTTTTAAGTGATAAATCTATATTAGCTGTAGTTCTGCATAATTGCTAAGTTCTCTAACTGCTATTTTTTACCAGTTGCTTGACTAAAATAAATAGGTTAATCTGAGCCTTAGTTTCTTCCTCTTTAAATGGGTATAATACAACCTCCTAACTAAGATCTACATTAACAATCATCAACCATATGCCAGACATTGAATTAGATAGCACATACACTATTTCTTAATGTAACCTTCTGATGATGCTGGCATCTGGCACAGAGGTTAAGGCACCATTTGGGATGCCAGCATCCCACATCAGTGCTGGAGTCTGAGTCCTGCTTCCACTCCTGATTCCAGTTTCCTGTTGACAGGCACTCTGGGAAGTAGCAGGTGATGACTCAAGTACTTGGGTCTCCGCTACTTTCTTGGGAGATCTGGACTGAGTTCCTGGCTCCTGGCTTCAGGCTGACTCAGCTCTAGCTATTGCGGGCATTTGGGGATTGAACCAAAAGAAGCAAGATCATTCTGTGTCTCTCTGCCTTTCAAGTAAGTTAAATAAATAAATACATTTTTAATAGTTCACAGAAAATGGAATTAAAAGGTAAGTTTTAAAAATAAATTAACTGCCGGCGCCGTGGCTCAATAGGCTAATCCTCCACCTTGCGGCACCGGCACACCGGGTTCTAGTCCCGGTCGGGGCGCCGGATTCTGTCCCGGTTGCCCCTCTTCCAGGCCAGCTCTCTGCTATGGCCAGGGAGTGCAGTGGAGGATGGCCCAGGTGCTTGGGCCCTGCACCCCATGGGAGACCAGGAAAAAGCACCTGGCTCCTGGCTCCTGCCATCGGATCAGCGCGGTGCGCCGGCTGCAGCGGCGGCCATTGGAGGGTGAACCAACGGCAAAAGGAAGACCTTTCTCTCTCTGTCTCTCTCTCTCACTGTCCACTCTGCCTGTCCAAAAAAAAAATAAATAAATAAATAAATTAACTAGGTTGAAGAGAGGAAATATTACTCCCATTTTACCAAGAAAAATGGAAACTCAAAGAAGTTATTTGTTTAAAATCATTCCACTAATGACAGGCTGAGCTGGGATGTGAACCCAGGCTTGACATCAAAGCTAGCAATCTCAAACCTATCTTGCATTGCCTCTCATAGTACATAAGTACTTATGCATCCTCATGCTACTTTCTCTCCTCACAGGACTATTGTAAGGAATAAATCAGTTGAGGTATGTAGATATCACTATAAATTAAAACATTACCCAATTGTAAGGATTTTTACCATCAAGTGGTTCTTGGAGAACGTACGCATTTAACTGAACTTCATTCTTGGGCAGGGTTATCTGGACACTCTCTCCAGCAGATACCACCAGTTCCTTTATAACTGGAAACAAAGCAAATATATCACAAATTAGAAACAGATCCAACTGCCTCCCCACTTCTCTTTTGATTGCAATCAAACTCCTTCTATAAATGATATTCAGTTATTGCCTTCATTTGTTTATTTCCTTCATCATTTTTCTATGCTGTAGTCCTCTGCAATTTGGTTCTGCCCCTACTTTTCCATGGAAAAGGATCTTCCAAGGTCCTCAATGAACTGCTTCTTAGAAAATCTAACAGCTCTGTCTCAACCTTCATCCTTCACCTCAGTGGCATCCACTACTGCTGAAACCTCTTGGCTGTCATGACACTGTATTATTCTTTCCTTCCTTTCCCTCCCCTGTACTTTAACTATGTTCAGTCATAAAGCCCTCTTTATATACTACTTTCCACAGAGCTCAAATTCTGCTTAAGATCACCTTTATGCTGACAAATAATTTTCTTACAAGATACATATATAAAGTTCCCAGAAGGAAAGGCATCTATCGGTCACCAGGCCTGCCCTATTCCTTCTCTATTCTAATTGCTACCTCTGCTAGCTCTCCCCATTTTAACTAATTCTGTCTTCCTAAGATACTCACCACCATAATCTTGGGACAATACTCACCTTCCAATGTTACTTTCTCATTTAAGTCCCACATTCCCACACCATGTTTGAGGCCAAACCTCTAACCGGGCAGTAGAGAAACCATCATCTGATCGCATTGTCCTCTTTGCTACCCAAGTCACATTAATTTTTCCTCTTGTGCTCCACAGAAGCCATAGTTTACTCTTGGGGGCTTGCCTAACGCTATTTTCTTCAAATGAGGTGTCTGCCTTTCTTTAAATACAGCACATTGTTTGTAGCTTAAAGACTGTCTCCTCTCCAAGAATTCACCCCAGTTCGAAGCATCTCAGTTCAAACTCTTCTACTCCTTGAGTTTGGAATACACAAGTCAACAAATAGCTAGATGCTGTCTTAATATTATTCACCAGCTATTTCATACATGTCAGGGTGTCTCCACCTCAACTCTACTGACATTTTGCACCAGATAATTCTCTGTTGTGAGGGAGACGGTCCTGGGATGCTCTGCAGTATCCCTAGCCTTTATCCACCAGATGTCAGCAGCACCACCACACCACACTCCCCAACGTTGTTAAGAGCCAAAGGCATTTGCAGGCCATCGAGAATCATTGATTATATAAATCTTTTTTCTCTGACAATAATTGTTCATTTGGTAGGAGACCTCGACAGTAGGAGAGCTTAAAGCAAACAACAGACTGGGCAACTCTCGTATTTCAAGACTGAGAGGTGAGAATGGCTTCCTGGACAAATATGAAACTTGAGATTTATCTGCCTCTGCCTGGGAACACTGCGCTTGGAGAGAAATGAAACCATTCTTTATGGAAGCTTCAGCATGTAGATGCCCCAGGAGAAGGAATAACAGTGCTCTGAAGTGATTTTCAAAAAAAAGAAAGAAAATAAAGAGATAAGAAAGACAGAAACCATTATACTCAGAGAAAGTATCATGGACAAAAAAATGTTCAATACAGTACAACTCAAACCTTTCAAAATTATACCAAAAATTACAGGTGTTCTGCCTGAATAGAAAAATTACTTTGGTGTCTCAGGATGGAAAAGCTGTAAATTTTCATGTTATATTACCACTAAAGGAGGTACTAGGACATTAAAAATTGGCAGAAATTCATTTCTACTAGCTTTGCTTCACACTTTTAACTTTTTAAAAGGATAAAGATCAACTGAGTTGCATTGATTGATCATTCCCTCTTAATGCCTTAGAACAGTAGAGTGAGCTGTTAGGACCACATTCTAAGTGTAAGTCTCTTTCCTGTGGGCTCCTTTAAAAATAAAGATGCTGTAAAAATCAGAGACAAACATCTGGCCTACAACCAGCCTTTCAGAAGGCAAGCAGGTATACTGATCCAACTTTCCCCAACTTCCCCCCCAGGCTCTGTTTACTTGATGCCTCAAACATTTATTGAACCTTGTGCCTTTAAGGAAGTGGAATCTGGCTCTGAGAAAATGAGCCTCATAAACTTCTACCAGCAAGGGGCTGGCTGAAAAAGGGATATAGAGTCCCAAGTCCACAGACAAGGTTATTTTCTCTCTAACATACAGTATTCAAGACATGCTTCCTTCCCACCCTTCTTCCTTCTAAAAGGGAGCATTTTCATCAAATGTTCTACTTTCCATCTCATCTCCAAGGGCAGAAGCAAGGGGCCTCACCTGGGTACGGTGCTGAGGTGCTCTGGAAAGAGGCCTTGGGGGTGAGGGTAGCATAACTGTAAGAGGGAGCTACTGGCAGAGGGGTAGCAACCTGCATTGTCCCAGGGCTTTTCACTTGCGGAGTACTGGCTGTAGTTCCAGGATCTGCTGGTATTTCAGGTTGAACGGATAGGTTCTTTGGCCCATCAGGAATCTCTGCAGTCAGGACTGTGGTTGAGGGACTGGAAACTGTAACTGCCTTGTGGACCTAAAGAAATGCAAAAATTCATCTGAATAGGCAAAAGTTATACAGTTTTTCAGCTTATATCTCATGAAATATTTTTTGAAAACTGCAAACTTGCCAAAAAATATTAAAGAAACTTGGGGCAGGCATTGTGGTGCAGCAGGTTAGGCCACCCCTCAGGATGCCTGCATCCCGTGTCAGCTATTCCATGCTTCCAATGCAGCTTCCTGCTAATACTCCTAGGAGACGGAGGATGAAGGTCCAAAGACCTGAGTCCTTGCCACCCTTGTGAGAGACCCAGATGGAGTTCCTGGCTCCTGGCTTCAGCCTGGCTTAGTCCTGGCTGTTGTAGGCAATAGGGAAGTTAACCAGAGGATGGAAAATATCTCTGTCTGTCTCTCTCCCCTCCACCTCGTTGCCTTTCAAATAAATAAATTAATTTTAAAAAAATTTTAAAACTAATCTCTACAAAAAATGGTGTTAAAATGCTGATATAAATCTTCTCAGCTTTTTCTATGCAGTTTTTTTAAAAGATTTTATTTATTTATTTGACAGGTAGAATTACAGAGACAGACAGACAGATAGACAGAGAAAGGTCTTTCATTGGTTCACACCCCAAATGGCCGCAACGGCCAGAGCTGCTCCGATCTGAAGCCAGGAGCCAGGAGCTTCTTCCTGGTCTCCCATGTGCGTACAGGGGCCCAAGAACTTGGGCCATCTTCTACTTCTTTCCCAGGCCACAGCAGAGAGCTGAACTGGAAGAGTAGCAACCAGTACTAGAACCAGCGCCCATATGGGATGCTGGCACCACAGAGGATTAACCTAGTTTGCCACGGCGCTGGTTCCTCTATGCAGTTTTAATAAAAATAGTAATAACCATACTATGCATACTTTTTATCTTCTATACCTTTTAAAAGATTTATTTCATGGCCGGCGCCACGGCTCAACAGGCTAATCCTCCGCCTAGCGGCGCCGGCACACCGGGTTCTAGCCCCAGTCGGGGCGCCGGATTCTGTCCGGGTTGCCCCTCTTCCAGGCCAGCTCTCTGCTGTGGCCCGGGAGTGCAGTGGAGGATGGCCCAAGTGCTTGGGCCCTGCACCCCATGGGAGACCAAGGATAAGCACCTGGCTCCTGGCTTCGGATCAGCGCGGTGTGCCGGCCACAGTGCGCCGGCCGTGGCAGCCATTGGAGGGTGAACCAACAGCAAAGGAAGACCTTTCTCTCTGTCTCTCTCTCTCTCTCACTGTCCACTCTGCCTGTCAAAAAAAAAAAAAAAAAAAAGATTTATTTCATTTATTTGAAAGAGTTACAGAGAGAGGGAGAGACACAGAGAGAGAGAGAGGTCTTCTACCTGCTGGCTTACTCCCCAAATGGCCTCAACAGCCGGTGTTGGGCCAATCTGAAGCCAGGAGCCAGCTTCTTCCAGGTCTCCTACGTGGGTGCAGCGGCCCAAGAACTTGGGCCATCCTCTGTTGCTTTCCAAGGTGCATTAGCAGGGAGCTGGATCAGAAGTGGAGCAGCTAGGACTTGAACTGGCACCCATATGGGATGCCTGCACAGAAGGCAGGGACTTTAACCCTCTGTGCCACAGCACTGAACCGCTATCTTCTATTCTTAACACTGATAGTCAATCTTCTTACAAATACTTACTGAGCACCTATTATGGATCAGACCTTGTGGATCCAAAGTATAAATAAAACTAACCACTGTGTTCAACATATGGGAAGAGAGAAGAAAAAACACTAAGCCGGGCTGGCGCCGTGGCTCCCAGGCTAATCTTCCAACCGTGGCGCCATCACCCTGGGTTTTAGTTCCGGTCGGGGCGCCAGATTCTGTCCCGGTTGCCCCTCTTCCAGGCCAGCTCTCTGCTGTGGCCTGGAAGTGCAGTGGAGGATGGCCCAAGTCCTTGGGCCCCGCACCCCATGGGAGACCAGGAGAAGCACCTGGCTCCTGCCTTCGGATCAGCGCGGTGCGCCAGCCGTGGCGGCCATGGGGGGTGAACCAACGGCAAAGGAAGACCTTTCTCTCTGTCTCTCTCTCTCACTATCCATTCTGCCTGTCAAAAAAATAAAATTAAAAAAAAAAAAAAGAATTATTAAAAAAAAGAAAAAACACTAAGCCAAAATAGTAAAGATACCTATAAAAGTTATAATAAACCAAAGAAACACAATCTGAGGATATTTGAGCTCTATCCCTTAGAGAAAGGGAGGGTGTGGAAAAGGGTGATTTATACACACACACACACACACACACAGGTTTCCTAGAGGAGCAATGTCCTAAGCTAGCTTTAAAGGTTAAACAGTTGTTCACTAGAGAGAAGACTGAGAGGGGAGAATGCACACAGGGAGGCATTTGGCACAGTGGTTCAGACACCACTGGGGATGCCCACATTCCAAACAGGAGCACCTAGCTTGAGTCCCAGCTTCTCCATTCCAGTCCAGCTTTGTGTTACTTCACACTGTGGGAGAGAGCAGGAGATTTTCAAGTATTTGGGTTCCTGTCACCCACATGGGAGACCTGGATTCAGTTCTGGGCTCCTGGCATTGGCCTGGCCAAGCCCTGGCAAACTGCAGGCATTTGGGAGTCAACCAGTGGATGGAAAATGTCTTTGTATGTCTCTGTCTCCCCTCCCCCCACCTCTGCCTTTCAAATAAAATGAAAATTAAACAATGTATTACCTTAAAAACAAAGAAATTAATTGAACAAGGTATATTTTGAGAGCCAAAAGCAATATGTGAGGTGGGAAGTAATGGAAGATAAACGTCAAAGACAGGCAAGGACCAGACAGAAGATGATGTTACATGCTCCTTTTAGGAACCAAGTCACAGTGAGCATTCAAAGGGTTATATAAGGTCAGGCTTCTGTTTTACAGGTCACTTCTTAGTGTATGGGTTTGGAAAAGTAAAGCCAACAGCAGGAACTCCACTTAGGAAGCTGTGGCATTCATCCAAATGAGAAATGATGCATGGATAAATGGTAGTGGTACAGATTTTTTTTCTTAAATCAACTTAGCTGAAGTGTAATTCACAGAAAATAAACTGCACAAAATTCAAGTATAAGGTCAATGTTTGACAAGTGTATACACCCACATAACCACTATTAAAGGAGAGAACATTTCTAGGAAGAGCACTAAAAATTCATTCATGCCCCTTCGCAATAAGTCCCTGCCTCCACCTCCAGGTTCAGGCAACCACTGATTTCTTTCTGTCATGGTTCGATTGGCTTGAGTTTTCCTGTATTTCACGAAAGGAATCCTATACATACAGCTTTTGCTTACGGCTACTTTCACTCAACATGCTTCTGAGATCCACCTAAGGCATTATGTGTAGCAGTAGCACATTACTTTTTATTACTGAGTAGTATTCCACTAGAGACACATCTAAATTTGTTTTCCATTGCTCTATTGAAGGAGATTTAAGTTGTTTTCAGTTATCAGTTATAAATAAAATGTCTATGAATGTTTGAATATAAATGTTTCTATAAATGTGTCTTATATGCAGTAAATGCTTAGGAATACAATCATGGGTTGTATATAAATGGATTTTTAAGTATACAGGAAACTAAACTATTACCCAATTATATGATACTTCCGACTGCTACACAACTTCATTAGCTCACTAGGCTAATCCTCCGCCTCCGGCGCCGGCACACCGGGTTCTAGTCCCGGTTGGGGCACCGGATTCTGTCCTGGTTGTTCCTCTTCCAGGCCAGCTCTCTGCTGTGGCCCAGGAAGGCAGTGGAGGATGGCCCAAGTGCTTGGGCCCTGCATCTGCATGGGAGACCAGGAGGAAGCACCTGGCTCTTGGCTTCGGAACGGCGCAGCGCGCTAGCCGTAGTGGCCACTTGGGGGGTGAACCAATAGAAAAAGCAAGATCTTTCTCTCTGTCTCTCTGTTTAACTCTGCCTGTCAAAAAAAAAAAAAAGGCCGGCGCAGCGGCTCATTAGGCTAATCCTCCACCTGCGGCGCCAGCACCCCGGGTTCTAGTCCTGGTCAGGGCGCTGGATTCTGTCCCGGTTGCTTCTTTTCCAGTCCAGCTCTCTGCTGTGGCCCGGGAGGGCAGTGGAGGATGGCCCAAGTGCTTGGGCCCTGCACCCACATGAGAGACCAGGAGGAAGCACCTGGCTCCTGGCTTCAGATCCGCGCAGCACTGGCCGTAGCGGCCATTTGGGGGGTGAACCAACGGAAAAGGAAGACCTTTCTCTCTGTCTCTCTCTAACTCTGCCTGTGAAAGAAAGAAAGGAAGGGAGGGAGGGAGGGAGGGATGGAGGGAAGGAGGGAAGGAGGTAAGGAGAGAGGGAGAGGGAGGAAGGAAGAAAGAGTTACAGAGAGAGAGGGAGAGATAGAGATTGAGATCTTCCATCCATTGGTTGGTTCACTCTTCAAATGGCCTCAACCACCAGGACTGGGCCAGACAGAAGTCAGGAGCCAAGAACTTCATTCAGGTCTCCCACATGAGTGACAGGGGCCTAAACACTTGGGCCATTTTCCGCTGCCTTCTCAGGCCATTAGTAGGGAGCTGGATCAGAAGTGGAGCAGCCAGGACACAAACCAGCGCCCACACGGGATGCCGGCATCATAGGCTGCAGCTTTACCAGCCATGCCACAATGCTAGCCCCAGAATTCATTTTTATTAATTATTTTTCCCCTGAACATGAGTCACACTTTCCTGATTGTTTCCTTGCAAATCTCATAATATCTGGTTGAAAACTGAACATTTTAGATTATATATATATATATATTTTTTTTTTGGACAGGCAGAGTGGACAGTGAGAAAGGTCTTCCTTTGCCGTTGGTTCACCCTCCAATGGCCGCCGCGGCCAGCGCACCGCAGCCGGCGCACCGCGCTGATCCGATGGCAGGAGCCAGGAGCTAGGTGCTTTTCCTGGTCTCCCATGGGGTGCAGGGCCCAAGCACCTGGACCATCCTCCACTGCACTCCCTGGCCACAGCAGAGGGCTGGCCTGGAAGAGGGGCAACCGGGACAGAATCCGGCACCCCGACCGGGACTAGAACCCGGTGTGCCG